CGAGGCTTCAATTCGAAGGTGAACGATATAAATTTACACTGAATAATGCGTCCGCGCCAACATTTATTAGACGGATAAAACTTAGTTGCCGACTCTCACAGAATTAACATGTTCACTCACGCGATTCATTGATCTTTAATCGAAGTATTTATTTACTCCCAAGATTCCACTGCTTATGCGCATCTATACTTATTAAAAGTCTTTGTCCGGACTTATAGATAGATAGACTCACAGCTTGAACTCGCTGATTGCTTATATGTTTTTTTTTATGATAGAGAAGGACAGAAAAGCTGGGTCTTCACTGGATGGAAGGTAAAATACTCCAACCATATAGCATCTAAACAAGACTTAAGACGAGACAACTTGATGACTTTTTTATCTGTGGACGGTGGGTGATCCAGGTTAATTTCGATAGTCCGACCACCCTTAATATCCAACTCTTTCAGTAGTACAGCACGTTTCAAAGAATTTTAAATTATTTATTAACATACTGTCTATAGTTTACGCGAGTAGTACACATTTAAATAAAACACTTTAACGGTTTAAAATGCGATATATTAGTTAAACTTATTTGGAAATGATTTTAACTAATATATCGCGTTTTAAACCGTTAAAGTGTTTTATTTAAATATTTATTAACATGTCAACGTGGTGGAGATCGTACCCACGTTGATAATAAGCAATACATCGCTCTTAGATGCATCACTTTTACCCCATTTTCCGCAATTTTACTGTTGCTTCGCTCTTTTTGGTCCCCACTTGATCTTCTATAGTTAAAAGCCTAAATAAACGGTCTATCTAACAAAACAATATTTTTTTCAATTCTAACCAGTGATACCTGAGATTAGCGCGTTCAAACAAACTGTTCAGCTTTATATATTAGTATAGATTTTCATTTTCCAAAAAAAGCCGATAATAAAAACAGCAACAAGTCCATTCCAGCCTAACTCGTATCACGCCCTTGCTAAAGATACACAAATCATAATAAACTTCATACGCGTACAAACTTATGAGTTGTGTATACTTGTACGAAGATGTCGATGTATGACGTATAAGACGGAGAGCCTTTGGAACCGGTTCACTTCATGTGAATACACTCGGCCATCAAATAAGGTCCATGTCAGTTTAAGATACGCTTTCCCACTCAGATCTTAATAAAATACAGAGGCAAAGTTCGCGCTTGAGTAGTCAGCGTAGGGTACTGATAAGAAGAATAACATAACAATGAGAATGTGAGAATATCTATTTTTAAATGACCTCCTCTATTGCAAAATGGTAAAACTAACATAGCACTAGCGTCCTAGGTTCGCATCTCGGGAAACAATAAATAGTTTTCTTCGGGCTGGGCACAGAAGTCTAATCAACTACGTGCCTATAAATAAAACCGAAAAAAGCGTTTTGAATGCTTTGCAACCACCGTGCGCCAATATATATCGCGTTTTAAACCGTTAAAGTATTTTATTTAAATGTGTACTACTTGCGTAAACTACAGACAGTAGTTCATCAGACTTCTTGGGGAACGGAATTTTATGTGTCTAGGTATTCTAATAAAATACTTACAACGGTTTAAAACGCGAAATAAACTTGTAAGACATTCGAAACGTAAGGTTTTAATTAAAATAGAAAGGTCCTGTTATAACCGGTTTAAAGTGTTTTATTTAATCGGCCTATAATGTGAGATTCAGACAATTCTGCCCTGAAAAAATACTTTAATTAATAAATTATTAAAGTATTACAAATCTCAGCCACATTCTAAATTTCAATAATAATAATTATCATTAAAAAAAAACAGCCTTAAGTAACATAGCAACAAATAGCATTGTATCATAAAAAAGCATAATCGCTAATTGATTTATCAGACACACTTAGCGCATGTTCTCAGACCTGATACTTGATTAGAAACTCAATCTACTCTCTCTTTATGACTAGCTTTTTCCAATTCAATGCACGACTGAGAACTTACTTATTACGTACTAACATATGTATAATGACGAGTAAAAAGAAAAAAATAATTTTAACGAGTTAGAACGCAATTTATTGTAAATAAAATAATGACAATGAGACGTGACAGATATTGAAAAGCACCTGAAACGTCATGTCATCAAAATGAGTCATGTTCATATGAAAACATCGCGTTTAAAACAGTTTTATGTGTCTACTATTTGCGAATAATTATTACTTTCGTTTTAATCTCTTACAACGGTTTAAAATAACTATATTTGGTTAAATACATTCGTCATTATAATTTTATTTATTGTAGTACGACGATTTAAATAAAATACTTTAACGGTTTGAAACGCGATATATTAGTTAAACTTATTTGAAAATGATTTTTAACTTCGGCCCGACGTTTCGGACCCTCAGTTTGTCTCCCCTGACCAAGGCTGCTGCAAAGCATCCAAAACGTCGGGCCGAAGTTAAAAACATTTTCAAATAAGTTTAATTAATACATCGCGTTTTAAACCATTAAAGTGTTTTATTTAAAAGATTCGGATACTTTGCAGTCTTGGGAACATAGGTTATATGTATGCACAGTTTGCATTGTATGCACGTACACGTATAATCAGTTAGTCAATTTATTTTGCAATACCCATGGCTGTGGAACGCTGGTTCGATGCTAAAAGTGGTTGCCTTGTATGCGGGTAACAGTTATTTATTTAATTTGTACCAAACGAAAAATTTTGACATTTTTCCATACATTTCTTAAATATGTAAGTTACATAACTTGGCGTTATTAATTATATTAATAAAATAGTCTAAATAACGCGCACAAATGGAACCTTTGTGACGATAAGACTTTTAAGTGCCCTCCGCCTTATCGCGTCTCAAAATGCATTAGACGAAGCAACAGGTTGATTTAACATTTAGTTTTCTTTCAAAGTGCATGCCTCTCTCGACCAATAAATTTGTTGATAAAACCAAACGCTAATAAGTTAAAGGAGCCGCGGTAAATCGCATATATGGACGTCGATGCTTATAGTCAGTAGATATGCAAAATTGTTAATGCTCAATTGTTATACACTAGCTGTGCCCGCGACTGCGTCCGCATGGAATAGTTATAGGTAGGTTTCATTTTTTTTTAGCAAATAACCTCGTCAGCTTTTTAAATTATAGCTTCGAAACGAAAACGACATCGTCTGGGTCTCGTCGTTCGAGAGCTAACTTTATAAGATAGAATATTATACAGTCGCGGACATTTTACGGATAATTTAAAGAAAAATTATTATTATTCTTAACTTCCGTTTTAGCACCGCACGTAACGGAAGCCCTCAAAGATACGTCGCTTCTATTGGTCACAGATGTTTTACAGCCTAAAGCATTCCTCGATAAATGATCCACGCAAGACAAAAATAGTTTTTCAATTCGAACCAGTAGATCCAGAGTTCAGACAAATAAACAAACTCTTCAGCTCTATAATATTAAGCATAGATTTTGGTACATTCGCAACTTTAGAGTATGTAGCACATAGGAAGTTAGTAATTAATGACTGCCGTTCAACGAAAATTCACTTAAAAATTATTTTAAACCCCTGCCATTTCCGTGTCACATCTCCTTAATATGACGTCACACCTTGTAGACATTCATCTAGATATAACATATATATCAACTATAAGAAAAGCGCATGACTATTAAATGTGACGTCACAAATGTTGGAACCCCCAGCTCTTCTCACTCGATGCCCTCCCACCAAAATGTGACGTAATTTATGGACGGAGCCTTAAACGTACTACACGGACAGAAGACTATTAGTATTGGCGTGAAATAATGAAAGCTATTTCACAGTAAAACGTAACTTGTACGTTCATTAAGGCGGGTGTCGATGCCCGCGCTGTTGGGAGCACGTTGCATAAATCAGACTGGGGAATGCTGTTTGGCGCCCTAATGCGCTTTCGATGTCAGTTGATCGCTACCCCCTCCCTCCAATCGCTCTTCCAAACAATCATACTGCAAGCGAACTTTAAAACATTCATATCACACGTGTTTAAAACGCGATATATATAAGTTATGTTAACAAGTTAATTAAATTATTTTAACTACGGCCCGACGTTTCGGATGCTTTGAGGCAGACGCGTTTATATTGAGTTTTAAACCGTTAATGTGTATAATTTAAAAGGAATATGTGTTGCTAAGACGAAAGTACACATAGCATAACACTAACTTTTAACGTTAACCAAAAAAATAGATTTTGTTGTTTCTTTGTTATGAAAATATTGTAGTTCGCGCAATATAAATTCAAAAATAAATGATTTTAAAATATTTTTCCTGTCTTTAAATAACTTAACAACTAACTTAAAGTTAAAATAAGTTTTGCTTTCATTAAAACTAGACGCTATATAAAAATTTAGTCTGTATACCTTAACATTTTTACGTATAAATCGCGTGCAATCCTAGTCAAGCAATCAAAAGTAATAAAATTTATAGAGTTTGTTACACGTGAAGGTTTTATTATATTTTTTAATAATAAAAACGTTTGTATTAACTGAAATTAACTAATTTAAATACAATTAATTTAATATGTGAGATTTACTAAATTTTTAACACAATTTACATACTTTTATTTACATAAAACCTACTAGAACTAATAAAAGCGATTATTAAAAAAATGCATTAAAGGAAGGAGTTATGTTCGTTAAAATTATTGTAATTTGCTTAAAAAACGATAAAATTTATCAATGGTGTTTGCGAGGTGCATTATACAATATTTTTTTGACCTTTTACTCAAAACTAATAACAATTCCATAAAAATAAAATCTCATATAGGTATTTTATAAGCATATAACGGATTTTAAGAGACACTTCGACACTTCGCGGTCAACAGCCTTCGTTCAATTTAAATATTTGAATGGTATTACCAAATATGCACGTCTCATCGTCTTAAAATATGCACTTGTTATGTTTTGGATTTTTTAAAGACATTTATTATTGCGAGGTGATACTAATTGAGGAATTCGTATTATTTTTAACAAGGTGCTCGTGTTATTCGTGTATAATATGCGTTGCTATGCACAAAGGGAATACAAGGCCTGTAACAATACAATTATTAATATAATACTCTCGCATAAAATCATTGAAAATAAAATAATTTATAATTTTAAGTCAAACAAATATAATATTTTAATTACATAACTACATTTGAAGTTAAGTAGTTGTTGAAGTACTTATTTAATTTTAAATAAGATCCGACTTTAAATATTTCGCGTGTTAACGTAATGTATAATTGAAACATTGAAATTATAATTAAATCGTGTGTACATATAGAAACGAAAACGAAGGTTTCACATAATCTTCGAAAGGTTTCAGAACGAATGTTAAGATATCGTCGCAAGACGCGGCTTATCGTTAATTTAGAGTCTCCGATTAGAGTCTGCCAGCAGACATACACTAACGAGCTTTCGTTTTAAATTTATTTTTATTTTAAAAACAGTACAGTGTCGATGGTTTTGTCTTATATTGAGAACGCCTGTGCAAAGTTAATTGGACCCGTTCGAGCTTTGGGATCGGACTTTGATACGGTGTATCCCGTTTCACAAATCGAAACCAGAGTCTTTCATTTATACTGTTAATAAAATATGTGACTAACCTTTGTAGTGGTCGATTTCAAAGGGGAGCTCGAAGACACGGCGCACACTTCCACCTCGTACCTATCTACGCCAGCTTCGCGGTCCAGTGGTACAGCTGTAGACAAGATACCTAACGCAGAGTCTATATCAAATAATCTGTCCACTTGTTTTCCGTCTCCCGTAACGTTCACTATGTAATATTCCAGTCCCGACCGATAATTGTTAGTCATATTTAAAACTGCAGTACCTCCCGGTTCATTTTCCGCGACTGACACCGTACCTACATTCGACCACGTTATGCCTTCTAACTCCGTACCACCCATTATGACCGTCAAGTACGTTTCAGTGCTCTTTTGCTCACTGAGTACAGCCTCATCAGTGGCTTTTATAACCAGGTTCCACCGAGCCTCAGGTGACGCAGGCGGATATCGAAGAGTTAGAGCTCCATTGCTTCTGTGCAAATCAAACATGTCATTGCCCCCCGTGAATTAATTTATATGTGACGAGACCATTAGTTCCCGAGTCTAAATCTCGAGCAAGAACGTTCATGATGTATATTCCTCGCCCCGCACTCCTGCCCAAACGTTCTGAATTTACAACGGCAGCGTTCATAGATACAAAAACAGGGGCATTATCGTTAATATCTTCAACAATGACTGTTACCAGTTTCTCAGCAGAAAGTCTCGCTGAGGGTGGCTCCGCCCTATCATACGCAGCCACTGTTATTCTAAATGTGTCAATACTTTCTCTGTCTATGGGCAGTAATGTATGTATAACACCTGTTACATTGTTAATGGCAAAGTGGCGGCGTCCGTTGTGAGGTTCTTGATGAATTATTGAGTACCAGACTTTACCATTTAAACCAGAATCGGGGTCCTCAGCCGTTACTGTGACTATGGGAGTATGTTTCGGAATTCCTTCCCTTATCTGCCGTACTATAGCAGTGTTAGTAAATATAGGTGCATTATCATTAGCATCAATTACATTTACAATAAAGGGTATACTGGAGGACAAACTGGGATTTCCGTTATCAGTAACACTGATATTCAATACATATGATGTCAAATCCTCATAATCTAAATGTTTATGTAAAAATAGCTCCCCGGAATAACTATCGATGAAAAATGTTTCTTTTCTATTACCAGATGATATAGAATATTGCAATTCATTATTTATACCTAAATCAGCATCATTTGCATGAAATTGTATTATTTTTTTGTTTACAGGCTCTGTTTCTAATACAAACACTTTCATTTGCGTCTGACTAAATACTGGTGCATTGTCGTTTTCATCTAAGACGTCAACTGTGATAGTCGTCGTAGTTGAAAGGCGAATAGATTGACCGGAATCGTGCGCCATGACTATAAGTTTGTAGTGGTCTGTTGTTTCACGATCAAGAGGTTTATTTATAAATAATTGGCCTGTTCCTTCGTCAAGCACGAATTTCTTTAAGTCGTCTCCTCCAATCAACTTGTAGTAGATATCACCGTTTAGACCCTCATCAGCATCTGATGCAAATATTCGCGTAACGGACGCTCCTACGCTTGCTCCCTCAGATATATCAACTCCATAAGGGGTTCGTGTAAAAGTTGGAGCGTTGTCATTTACGTCAGTAATGTATATTGTCACCCTTACAGAATCAGATAGCTTAATTCTTCCATTATCACTTACAGTTACTGTCAAGGTTATGTAGTTCTGTCCAGTTGACTGCGCTAAGCTTTCTCGGTCAAACGAGCGTAACGTTTTAATAAAACCATTTCGTGAGTCTATTCTAAAGTCATTCTGAATAAAAGGAAGGCTAAATGTTAACTCTGCATTTCGTCCTATATCTTTATCGATAGCAGTCAACTTTCCCACAAATGTATCTGGGGGTTCATTTTCTTTTAACTTAAAAATAAACGTTGTATTGGTAAATTGTGGGCTATTATCATTTTCGTCCAAAACATGAATTACTACAGGTACTTGTGACGATCGAGGTGGTGTTCCATGATCATATGCAACTATTGTTAGCGAATAGTAATCTTTTTCTTCTCTATCCAAAAGACTCTTTACATAAAGGTATCCATCTGGAAAGACTCCGAATTTTCCTTCTGTATTACCTTCTGTAATACTATAGGATATTTGACCATTAGAACCCAAATCGGCATCAGACGCGGAAATTGCGAAAAATCGAGTGTTTACTAAAGTAGATTCAAACAATGATGTTTCGTAAGATGTGTGATCAAAAACTGGAGTGTGATCATTAACGTCATCAATGATTGCTGTTATGCCATATTTAGTAGCTAATGCTGGCTTTCCATGATCAGTGGCAGTCACTTCTATAGACAATGTAGTACTAGGTTCGCTAGTTATTACCTTATTGAGATAAATCACACCCGTAGTTTCTGATATTCGAAAACTATTATCTGAATTGTAACTTAAAGTATAAGATATTGTTCTATTAGATCCAGAGTCCCGGTCTATAGCCCGTGCAAAATAAACTTCTTGTCCCACCGCCATATTTTCAGCAATATGTATTTCATCTCTGCCTTCTATGAACACTGGATAATTATCATTAATATCCAACACTGAGATATTAACAGTGGTAAATCCATATGCTAAGCCACTCTTTGCCATGACTTTGAGATGATAATTTACTTTTTCTTCTCTGTCGATTGTAGATTCAGTACTTATTATACCGGCATGTTCGTCAATTTTAAAAACTCGTCTTTGATCTCCTTCCATAATGTAATAAGTAACTTTGTCATTTGTTTTTCTAGTACCTACTTTTCCTACAAAACGACTAACCTTACTCTTCGATATTCCTTCATTTTCGACTATTTTAAAAGTATATCCATTGTAGTTTTCAAAATCTAAACTTTTCATTTGTGATTTCTTTATAATTTCAATATCGGCATCTTCAACGGATCTCCTATTGCCATTATCTTTACAGGACACGCGCAGCGAATAAAATGTTCTCATAGCTTTTCTAAAATCTTTTTGCAATATGATGTCTCCGGTTGACGGATCGACATCAAAATAACCGTCACCCCCACTTTCTAGAGTATATGTGATTTTTGCATTGTCACCTTCATCATCATCAAATGCTTTTATTTGTATTACTTTTGATCCAACGGGCATATCTTCCGCTATACTGGTGACGTATCTTTGTGGATAGAAAATAGGATCGTTATCATTTACATCAACAACCTGTAAGAGAATCGTCGCCGTTGACGACTGAGGAGGAAAACCTTGGTCTTTAGCAAGAACTAGTATTTCATAAGTAGATGTCTTTTCTCTATCTAACTCAACAATCGTACTTAACTGGCCCGTTACTGGGTCAAGTATAAATGTATTGGGATATTTTCTCTCTGTACTAGGAGGCAAATAATAAGATACAGATCCATTAGTTCCTTGATCGTAGTCCGAAGCGGTTAAAATCAGTATCTCTTTAACCGGGCTTATATTTTCGGACAAAGAGGCATTTATTTGCGTTTGCGGGAATGAAGGGGCTTCGTCGTTTTCATCTAAAATTGTAACTTTCAATCTGGTATACGCCCATTTAGGATTAGGTCCACCGTCACGAGCAGACACATTAAGTTCGACTGATCCCTGTATTTCACGATCCAAAAGAGATTTTGTTGTTACCAGTCCTGTTAAATGATCTATGAAAAACCATTGTTGTTGATTTCCGTCATAAAAATCGTAAAATATTTCTGCATTCACTCCTGTATCTTCGTCGGTTGCAGTAATACCTGCGACATACGTACCAGGAGGAGCAAGCTCACTTAAAACAGTTGAGTATTCAGATTTTTCAAATACCGGTTCATGATCGTTCACATCATTCACATGAATAACCAAAAATGCTGTAGCTGTCCGAGGCGGGATGCCTTTATCAGTTGCTACCACAGTTAAATTATATTTACTTATCTCTTCCCTATCTAATACACCGTTCACGTGTACAATATAAACGCTACTCGAATTTTCTAAGCGAAAGTGGTTTAATTCATTCCCTGATATGATACTGACGCTTGTTATACCATTCAAGCCAGCATCTGCATCTGTTACTGTTATTGCTGCAACAAGGGATCCATTTTTTGCATTCTCATCTACCGTAGCAAAACTCGCAGTTGATGGTACATAGGTAAACGTTATAACCGGATCATGGTCATTGGCATCTATAAGATTGACAGTTACATATGACCGGGCATCTTGACGAGGCACGCCATGATCTTTAGCAATTACTGTCAAAACACATGTCATATTGCAGGTTGTATTGCTACAGTATTGAGGACAGCTTAATTTTTTAATAGTTGTTATTACCCCAGATTCTGGATCCACGGCAAATTGTTTCTCGGTGTCAGTCACTTCGTATGTTATTTTACTGTTATCACCGAGATCACTATCAGTCGCAGTAACTTTTAACACTGTAGTCCCAGGTAGTACACTTTCATTCAACGACACAGAAAAATCACTTTGATCGAAAATAGGCGGATTATCATTTACATCCAAAATTGTAACATTAACTTGTAAGTATCCATATTTAGGCGGGTTACCACCATCACGCGCAGATATATTTAGAACATAAAAATCGTTTGTTTCTCTATCTAGTTTTCCTGTAGTTTCTAAATGGAGATATGATGTTTGGCCACTCGGATTTACGGTTACGTTTAATCGAAATTTGCCTTCATTATCACCATCAACTATTCTATAATCGTTAGTTATTCCATTTTCGCCTAAATCTTTGTCAGTAGCTGCATCGAGCAGAAGTTTTGTACCAGGTGAAGCGCTTTCTGAAAACGCGACCGCAATGCTAGGTTCGGGGAATTCAGGGTAGTTGTCATTGACGTCCGTAACCCTAATTCGCACTTCAATAGGATATGTGGGTTGGCTAGATAGTACAACAAACGCATAGCGATCTACGCTTTCGCGATCGAGTACTATGTTCGTTTTAATTTCTCCTGACACTGGATCGAGAATAAATTCCTTGGGCGACTCATTGAACCGATAGGTGAAACCGGGTTTCGTTGGAATTTTACCAACAATTGTCCCTATAGGCTGAGATTCCGGCACCCGAAGATCTACACCGGTATCCACAGCACGAGATTGCATCTGCTCGGCGGCGGCGCCAGCGCCCGCGCTGGTAATCAGCGCCAGCGCAATCAGCACCACGTGCCACCGCCCCATCGCGGTCATGATTCAATGAAAAACATTTTTTATATCGAACCCCCAGAAAAAGTCCATCAAGTCCGGGTTAAACGTTTGCACAAAGTTGCGTTCTCGGCTCAGGTATGCAACATGGCCGCGACCTGCCCGGGCAGGAATATCTCACGGAGAGAGCGACTTGCCGTTGCGCCTACGCCGACACATTCATTTGTAAACACACGTGACACATATATAAATTTACACTTGTCTGACTATAGCATCGGTCACTTTAGTTATAACACATACAGCAATATCACTATCAAATCCTTTTTATCACGATTCGACGCACTCGAGTAAAGTTTTCCCACAGTATCCAAAGCGCGAACGCGACGCTTACAGCATGCGGGCTACCAAGGAGCCGACACGGTACTGGCGGGCGGAGGCATTCACGCCGCCCCGCGACCCACCTCGCGTGGCTTCGACCCCTCCCCGCAGCTTTTAAAGCTCCGGGCTGTAGAGGATGATGATATAGAGATAATGGCCGCCTAAGAATTTTACTATTTATTGTTCGATACTAGGCACTCGCCGTTCTAGGAAAGAGCTCACTAGACGCAGGTAGATTTTAAACACAAATCCTTCGTTCTCTAATGCCTCGCATGTACATGCGTGCTGTATATTTAATAATAATTATTAATGCTTTGTTTATTCAGTAAATTTGTAACGTGTTTTGAAAATTGTAAATACAAGAAAATGCTAGAAAAAAAAACAATGAACGATACTTTGTTCCGCATTATATATATTTTTCATATTTGTATTTCTCTTTGGTTATTTTGTATTTGTAGCGTATTGCAAATTTTGTAGTTTTGTTAAAAAATAGAGGTTTACTGTTTTTTTCGTGTTAGTATTAGGTTAGTTGATATTAGGAACATCTATGTATTATTTATTAGTATGCTATATAATGTAAGTTTAATGTACATTGAAGTAAAATATTCTTGCTTTTAATAAATTAGTACTTCGCATTAAACTAGAAATTTAGATCAGGCGACAATGTCGTTTTATATTAATTTCAATAACATTGACAAAGTGACCAATAAGTAATTTTGGAACAGTGTGAAACTACGTTAAACATATTAAAGGTAAAAACAAAATTTTTTAGTACCTTTTGGTTTAAACTGTGGCTCGTTTGTAACGGCCGATAAAGGAAAGAACGCCCCCTATTACAGCTTTAAGAAAGCTTTTCACCTTCGCAGCGACAGTTCCGATTTCCAAACAAAGCTTTCATTTTGTACAAGTAATTCTAGATGGCGCTTCTAGAAATTCTATATGGTTGTATTTTTTCTATATTTGCGTAAACATATTTTCGGTGTGTCAAGCAGGGTTTTGCGATTACATATCTTTAATCTATAAACCAGGATAGGAATTGTGCATATTATTAAAATAGGGTTAAGTGACTCTATTATGAAATACCTTAAATATGTCCTTAGAAAACTCTACCTCTACTAAACCTTCGTACGAATGTACCTACATATTATACCTATTGTTGTTTCTTCTGTAATTCGTACGCTAAATGAAACAACATCTAGGTACTTAACGTATCGTTATTAGTTTGTATTTCAGTCGTAATTGTAATTAACGTTGTGGCGCCTTTATATTTTAGTGAAGACAAAAGACTAAAGAAAACCGTCCTCTAACGTCATAATACAAAACTGTTTTCCACAGGTTTAAAAATAGCCTCGTTTTAAATACTACATCTATCGGTGGCACTTGTTGCTTGAAAGTGCTGACGTCACTCCCCTACCCATTGCTTGGCTTGCTCGGGGGTGACCGCGCCCCCCAGTGGGTCGCACTGACGTAAAGGCTCACATTCATGAATGGAAAGACCTAAGCATACAGCATAAACTGATTTTTACACGAGCAAACCATACAGAAGCTTAGTGTTTTTTTTTGGTCTTTATGGATAAATATATTACCCAAAGCTTTTTTTTTAAATCATCGTAATATAATGGAATTTAAATTTAAACTGCAGTTGTACATGTGTCTGTACACATTTAAATAAAGCACTTTAACTGATTAAAACGCAATATATATTAGTTAAAATTAAGGTCACAGCTGCTGCAAATTAGCCGAAACGTCGGGCCATACTTAAAATAATTTTCAAATAAGTCTAACTAATATATATTGCGTTTTGAAGCGTTAAAGTTTTTTTAAGTAAACATGGTTGTGCATTTAGATTTCTTCAGTTTTATACTCTTAAACTTTACTACTCGTTACAACATCACAATGATAAGTTCATTACATTTAATTGGTCGTAGTTTGTAACTTACAACAACGTTCTTATAATGGAGTGTAGATTTTACAAAATAATTCTTTTTGAAGACAAAGTATTTAATTACGAGAGGAATAAGCCTCGCCTACGCCATTCCCCCGCTACAGACTTATTAATTTTTGTGTGGGTTTACTTTATAACTCAAGAGCAGACTAAGTTTTAACAATTCAATGCTAAATGTTATTTATAACCATTATATATAATTCATGTACAAGATGATTTTAAAATTTGATTATATAGTTCATAATATGCTAAGTATTTCGATAAGTATTAGGTGTAGTATCTGTAAGCTCTAAGTTGTTATTGTGTTTCAAATAGACACAAATTGTTTAATAATAAAACAGTTGAATACTGGCTATATAGCCTTAACACAACAAACAGTGAGTGGTTATATAAATAATGAATTTCCTCTTATGTATGCAGTATATAGTTAACAATCGAGGACGTGGGTTCGGTTCCCACTGGGTATAACGCGTTTCTAATCAATTTTAAAGTATTTCTGAGACATATTGGACGTCTGGAAGTCTGGTATTGAATAGGTGGTGTGAATATCGGAATTCCGTCCGTGTTAGGAATCACCGTTCGCAATTAAAAATCCGTGAAGTTTGATGGCGATTCGATTTCAATTTGTGGATTTCCAATTATCTTAAGCCAAGGCGATCGATGGTGCATCTTCTATGTTACGTACATGGGTATAACAGCTTCCATCAAGAGAGCCCCATGCTCGGTTCTGTTCTTCTATCATAAATCATGAATATCAACAAAATTAATTATTTTCTTTTTAGAGAATGTAATAACAAACGTTAGTAAAGCCGTTATAAGAATTATTTACTTGAAAACAGCGACTTTCAGGCGCCTCCAGGTTGTTGAACTCATATTTGTGACTTCGCCGATCGAACCTTACGGTGCACTTAGCTGCAACGAAAATCCGATATCACCCTCTTCCGACCTACCCCATCGGAGTGGAAATGGGAGACCGCAAACTGTTACCAACTTGCAGTAACGATAGTCCATTTATACTACATAGTTTAAGAGTTTGTAAGTTAGAGCATCTATCGAGGAAGGCTTTAGGCTATAAAACTACAGGTGCGCACAATACATGCGAAGAAACAGCGGGAAATGTGGAAAGATTGGGGAAAATTATTCATCTCTGTGGGTTTCCGATACGTACGCATCTAAATCGGTTCAAGATACCCAGGAAATATGTTCAAAGGAATGCTTTTTTTTTTAACTAAAAAATGTCCGCTAATGGATAACAACTATAATTTACAAAGATAAGGAGGTGTTTGCAAAAATAAAAAATATGACGCCCACAATAACTATTCAAAGCGGACGCAATCGCGGGCACAGCTAGTTAAATATATCGAAGGATTACTTTTAACCGTGTATTACGCACATGAAACTCCGGTGTATTAATCAGGAAGCTTCAGTTGGGTTCATTCTCTGAAACATCGCTTTGGGTTACAGTAATTAACATATTTTTAGATTAAGTTGAAGCATGAAGAATACACATATTGGGTATGTAAAAGAACAGTAGATCAACTAAAACTTGTTTACGATATAAATCTTCTCCTCTCTTTCTTCTGTTTCATTTTTTTTTACAATATTATTCTTAAATACATCATGAAGATATTATTAATTTACCAATTAATTAATGTTTCAAGATCTCTCCCACGCAGTTACACTTGCTTATCAGTGAGGTGTTACAGGATTATTATAGCGAAGCTGCGGTGAAAATTAATGCAAAAGCAAAATATTACCATTTTAACTTTGAAAACGTTAATATTTTTTACATGTTATTGCGCATGATGGAACTAAATAATTTAAAATCGAAAATAATAAGAAAAAAAAATCGACTCGGGCATGTCTTGAACCGGCATCGTCGGCGTTTCGTGCTATTGCTCTACCAATTGAACTACCGAGTTTAATACTACTACGATGCCGGTTCAAGATCTGCCCGAGTCGAAAAAAAGTTAAATTAATTTTCGATTTTTAAACCATTTCAACCTTCAGTACTGAAATGTCTGAAATTACAGGCAAAACAATTATAACAGTTAAAAAAATCATATATGTATATCACTTAGTTAGTTGGTTCTAAATCATAAAAGAGTGTTTGAATAAAGAAATTAGAAAAACTTTCTGTATGGTAATTCATAATTATGTTTTAAGAAAATATTACATTAAGGTATTTGATTTACTAGACCAAATTAGAAATTGTAACTTGAAAAACTTTTTTTTGGTAACATTTATAGTGGTGTTATAACATATCTACTACTGGTTTTAGGATAGTGTTGCTCTGTAGTCTCTAGTCACAATAATATTTTGATAAAATTAGGACTTAAGCAGTTCAAAGGGATGATATAATATTTCTACCACTATACATATAATTAGACCAGATGACCTAATACTGAAGTCAGAACGTACTTCTAAAAATGATATTACAAAAATAGTAACCAGTTTTAGTAAGATGAATAATCTGATGGTCCGATCGATAGCAAAGAGGTCGGGGTTAGGGCGCCGAGGTGGAGGGAGATACACCCCCGGGGGGGTTGTACGTAGGTAGAATTCATTGAGAACGTGTAGGCGGCACGCGTGGGCGACTAGCTTATAAAGCTCCGCGAACCACCCCGGCCGTGTAGTCTCTTTCCAACCTTTGAATGCAACAGTGAACTGTGAACAAAATGTGCAACCTTTTAGCAGGACTAAGGTAACATTTTATAAATAACAATATAAACGCCATTTTATTTACCTACATAAAAAAACGTAAATGTTGTTTTGCTTTTGTCGAAAAATAAATAATTTTTCCAAGTTTCAAATTTATAATTAAAGCTTTTTGTTGCTACAATTAATCTATTGTTATTTTAGAATGTGGGCAGTCTTCTTGTGCTATTTATTAGCTGAAGCTAAGACGTATCCCATGCAAGGTTGGCCTGTATACGCGCATGAACCCAGGGATTATAATGAAGACGATTATTACTATGCTCCGAAAGTTCAATATTACTATGACACTCCCGCTGTCAATCCACCTGAAGTGTACGGACAAGTTCCCTATGGATACATGTATGATCCCTACGGTCATTACTCGAAGGATATGCCAAAGATAGACGAAGAAAGATTTTCCGCTTTACCAATCGGCCAGGAGACATGGTATGAAGGTGAAACCAACCCCCGCTGGAGATCCAATAACGAAATTGATGACGTCAATGCAGCTTTCTTAGACAACCTAATACTTACGCAAATGGCGAGAGACGCACAGAGGCGGCGGGAAAATGCCAGAGCAGCTTTCTCCAATATCGATTACGAAGATAAAGAAAATGAAGACGAAGACGTCCGAGAATTAAAAGCGCTGGCCGGAAAACCTCTGTACCATGGCCCAAAAACTGTACCAACATTCGATGATGAGGATGACAACGAAGACTATGACGCTGAAGATGCCGAAGGATTCATTAACTGGAATGGGAACAAGAGAAGCATAACTACCGAAGCTCCTAAGAAATCGACTACGAAAGCACCCGTTGTGCAAACTGCGGGTCAAAAAGAAATCGTCATGCCTCGCCCAGCACAAAATACTCATCATCAAATGAAGTTAGATCAAACCAAACGAAACATGCCACTGTACGACGCCATTGTTCGATTGGAGGAAAATGTTAAACACGTAAGTTGAATTTTTTAACTCTATTGGTAATATAGCTATATTGGAAGTGATTGTGAAACCCCGAAGTCTAAAAATAGCTCAGCCAGGCTGGGGGAGGCGGGTGACACAGCGCGCTAGAGGCCGGGTCAATCGGGTGGGAGGGAGCTAAGCATCGATATGAGCCAGAATCTCCCTCTCGGCTAACCTATTTTAAACTGATATACGTAAATAACATAATCATTCATTTATTTTTTAATTTAAAGTTCGAAATCAGACATTTTTAAGGATTTGAACCCCAGTTGTATTAGTAAAACTTATTTGCAAATAATTTTAACTACGGCCCGACGTTTCGGATGGTTTCCAAAAGTCGTGGTTACGGGGCGATTAAAGATCTTTAGAGCATAGCATTCGAGACGCGTTTTAAACCGTTAGACACGTACGTGATAAATGAAATTTTAAAGCTTTTTAATCTTTTACTCTGTAGGCTTAAGGGTGTCTGCTTTTCGGGATTTCCTTTTGTAATGATTAAGTAACAAATTAAAAATCTACATCGATATAAAAATCCCTCAATCGTTTTGGATGCCGGTTCATATCACGCCCGCAAAATTAAATAGATTTTTAATTTAAATAATGCCATCATGTGAAAAAGAATTTCAAACTGGTAACATATCAATAAATTTTGTTTCTTTCGCAGGACTCAACGAAGCCGAGAAGAATCGGCAAGCGCTTTGTAGCGAGTGATTCAGATCTTGTCGTCGAACTCAGGGGCTTAAAACACCGTATGGCAACATAAACTTTGCAATGAATAACGCCAACTACTTATATGAGACTGAATTACTTTAGCATAGTAGATACGTACGACAGCGACCTGAATCACTTCAAAGTTACTGGAAATGCAAAATTATATATAGCCCCAAAACTTATATACTTATAGTTGTAACTTACGGTATTCGAAAAAGCATTCCTCGTTCTCTATTGTACATTATTGTGTGTTTATTTTATTCCACCATACATTGTTTTAAATAGGCATTTCAGTAGAACTCGGTGTAAAACTTTTTAATTGGATTCTGTTAAATTTGTAGTCCGTAGGTGTATGCAAAAATGATCGTACAAAAAAGACTATACGTGGGTTTTAGAGGTTGTTAAATATTTACTTAATTGTGGAAGTACTAGTTGGTTACTTTGGTAATCTATCTGGATAAGGTTCCCTTCACAAGGCAGCTAACAGTCGCACAACGCAGTGCGCACTTGTAAATAATTTAGGTACTGATTGTCTAAAAGTTAGATAGAAAACGTTATTTAAATCTAATTTTTGTATACTAAGTATTACTACTTTTTGAACTTTTTATTGCATAAGATATTCATTTATGCTAAAATTCTCGTAAACGTCATGAAAACATTAATTTTAAGGGTAACATCCACTATCGTACGAGTTTTGAGATCACGGATGGAATTTCAAGTCTCAAAGTAAATTCATGTTATTGGGAAATGGATGTAAAAATGTATTTATAAATTTCTACGGCCATCGCTACAGTTTAATGTGTACATACTCAAACATAGCTGGTGCTAACTTATTTTCTTACGTACCTACTACGGTCTAAGCAGACAATACCAGAAAACTTTTTGCGAAGCAAAACAAAATGTTATTGTATGTTAAAAACTTTATCGTATCTTTAAGATGGAAGTGATTCTCTTCTGAGAAAGAGGATTTGGTGATATTTTAGCTTTACAGCTTCTTGTGTAACATTACAGACGGTCTTTGAGGCCTTTTTGTAACATGAAGCTAAACACAGCAAGAACAGCAGACGTGCATTTTCCTAACAATTTGTAAATATGAATTTGTCATTGTCCTTCTCCCTAACTTTATGATAACTTTTGTATTGCCTACATTTTTGTATGTTCTATTTGTCATTAATGACTTATCTTTCTAAAGTACATATCTGATTAAATTAAAGTCAAATTACATTTTGATGGCAAACTTGACTCGGCCAGGACTAGATTAAATATAGTTAGTATGAATTTAGTGTCACCTGTAAAGTATTACTAGGTCATCTTGTTTAACGGTAATTATATTCCTATTATTTATTAAATTAGTTTTTAATATGTTCTCTTTATTATACCAATACTGTATTATATAAATTTGCTTTTTGAAAATTCTATATAATTTTTACTTTAAATTACTTTTGTTTCAAATATTATTATTTTGAATGAAGTCGATGTTTAAAAAGTATTGTGCAGTCGTTTCCTTCTAAATTTTGGCTCAATTTGTAGGTGTACAAATTTAACATCCATTTATATTTTTAGAAGGGTGTGAATAATTTACTAGATTGTCCATTTATTTGACGAAATTAGAAAATTTAAAATGAATACGTATTGTACCTACGTATAATGTAATGTATCTTACGAAGGAAAAGAAATAAAAATTTCAATGTCAATGATCTTCTATTATTTAAAAATCCATCGAAGTATTTTGCAGGGAAGATACGTCTTTAAAAATATCATTATTTTCAGACTTCCTTCTAATTGTTTAGTTTGCACTCGGATTTAAAATTTAACTAATATCATCTAAAAGGTAATAGGACTTATTACTGTGATGTGAAACCGTTCGATTTTATTAATCCAGTTACTACAGATCAACTGACTAGACTACTACTACTACTAGACTAATACGTTCGAAAGAATTTAATGTGTTTTTTGAGGTCTAAACAAGAACCTCTCGTGGTTAATACTAGACAATAAGAATCCCTTGGGTCATGAAGGCGATTCATTCAATATCATTATTAATATAACGGCATATTATTATAAATATCTACTAATACAACAATACTCAGAATTGACAGTGTTATAAAAATTTTAAAAATTACGACTCGGGTATATGTAATGTTGTTTTTTTCAAGGTCTTTAAAACTTGATAAGATTTATTCAACAGCAATGATCATATAATATCGAAGAAGTCTTCCAAATTAGGCTCTCAAATGTTTGCTCACTAAGAAGTACGAATGTGTCTACAATAATAATATAATGGGTAAGCGTTATTGTTACATGGTATACGTACTTATATGCTGTTTATTATATCGTACTCGGAAAAGACAGACAGTAGGTACAGAGAGATTGACATGATTTTAAGTCTGATAGTGTTAGTGTATAGCTAAAATAAATGCATGGGTAGTTCCACCGGGTTTTTTTAGTTATTTTCTAAACCGCGTAGTGTTTGGAAATAGTAAATGGATGATAGAAATGTCTCAATTGCACCTGGATGGCGATCCACCCATTCACAGATAAAAATACCATGCAGAATAATCATGTTTTGCTTAATCTGTATTGCTGAATATCCAAAGACTACAGGGGTCAATAGCGCAAACTATTAAAATGTAATCAAGTAACAGATGAGGACAGACTAAACGAGATAAATTCGAATAGAATCCAAGACCGGAAATCACTATATTGATTTAACGTTCTTTGATAAACACTTTAATATTCACTTGGTACTTGTTGAATATAAAACAATAAAATACATCCTGACCTTTAACCTTTCTATAAAGAGGCAAGTTTACTAGACGGTACGCCCACGAACGTTTTTCTTTTACAAGTTGAGTCAATAACACGAGAAACCTAATGAATTACAAATTTCTTCTTAAAATTCTCATTGTATTAGTGTCCTTCAAGATTTTACATTTATCAAACTTGTTATGTTTGAGTTTATAATCAAAATGCTTTGTAGATAGAAATTTACCCACCTTAAAATGATTATATCGCATTTTAATTATTTTTTTAAATAAAACAGTTAATAGTTTGAAGAATTTACCAGAAATATATAAACATTCTCTAGTACATTCAAACAAATACGTTGATTATACAATACACCACTACGGGTATGTATTATATATAATGTTTACTTACTTTTATGTATCTTCACCGCCTTTGGTATATTATACTGGAGAGGAAATCTATATTTTGTTTGGAAGAATAATTTGTTTTGAAAAAAACGAACAATATCGGGAGACTTAAAAAAAATCCAAGTAACTAGTCTGTTCGTCTTTTTTTATATTTAAAAAAAGGTTTTGACTGTAGTAAAAAGACCTTACTAAACTTTGACAATTTACAGAACTAAGCATGGCGTAAATGTAACAGTGACAGTGGCAGTAGGCTACTGCAACAAATTCGCAATGTTTGTGTTTATTTATTGGTTTATTTAGATTTTCGTTAAGTTATTAATTATTATTTACATATTTTAAAATCTACTCATTAGAAGTTATGCCTTTTGCAGGCAAAGGTAAACCCGGACAAAAAGATTTTTAATATTGCACTTAATTTGAAAGACTACCGATAGTTTTACAATACTTATAGTAAAAGTGTAACAGTGAATGTATACCGTTACTTGAAAAACCACGTCATAACGAAGAAAAACTAAAATGCGTCGCTCTAAAGGCTATCAGGATTTAGACGAAAATGCCAGGGAACTACGCCAGCCCGTGGCACCTATGCCACCTCCTCAGGAAATCGAAATGGCATCAGTATCAGTGGTACCAGATGGTACGTTAATTTCTAATTATTATGTTACATATTTGTTTAACAAGATTAAACAACCCGACACGACCAAATCTATTATTTTTAAAATAATTTAATGCTTGGAAGAAAATTAAAAATAAACACTTTCGCCGGTTTAAAACGCGAAATGAATTAGTTAAATAATTACAAAGAATTTTAAGTATGGCTTGACATTTTAGATGCTTTGCAGCAGCCGTAGTTACGGTGGAACTGAAGATGGAGAATGTCTCTAATGTTGAAGTAATAATTGCTAAATGTGGGCCGAAGTGAAAATAGTTTGTAAATAAGTTTGAATAACGTTTTAATAGTTAAATCTGTTTTATTTAAAAGAAAAAGATTTAAGTTTCCACAGGGTTTATCATCTTACTAGTAAGAAATAGTCACCCATAATAAAGTTGCATTGTATTATTTCAGATACATTTACAGTGACACAAGCTGTCAACGCTTTAGGGTTTGGATGGTTCCAGGTTAAGTTATCACTGTTTACGGGACTATGTTGGATGGCGGATTCTATGGAAATGACAATACTGAGTATATTATCTCCAGCTCTACATTGTGAATGGAATATTAGCAAGTGAGCATTTTATCATATTTGGCACAAACCTTGAGAATCAGTTTTTTTTATTGCTCACTAGAGTAATCAATCAACCTAATAATAGCACAAAAAAGGTTTGAAATAAGATATGATTTTTAGGCATATTTACAAACAACATACATTTAAAATCAGTCATTTTAAATGTATGTTTTCATATGTGAGTTTTTAATTAGCCAGTCTACTGTACTGTTCCTTAACTATAAATTAACAAGGTAAAATAATTGTAGGTACCAGCAAGCCCTTACAACTACTATAGTCTTTATGGGTATGATGTTAAGTTCTACTTTTTGGGGCAACATCAGTGATAGATATGGAAGAAAAACGGTGAGAGTTCCTTTTAAATGCATAGTATTTTAAATATCTTTTGATACACATTATTTTTGAATAATTGAATCATTGTCTAATATGTATGTAGTCGGATCAAATTTTAATGTATGGGAGACATACAACACAAGGCATGACCAACATGTATTATTTAATTTTGCAGGCACTCAGTATGTGTGGTGTTCTACTGTTTTACTATGGTATTTTAAGTTCAATAGCACCCAATTTTCTGTGGTTATTATTTTTGAGAGGTCTAGTTGGATTTGCTATTGGTTGTGTTCCACAATCGTAAGTTTCTATTAATGTTTTATTAATAAAGGTTTTGTTGTAATTTTACTATAGTTATTAATTCTAATATGATTTGCAGAGTCACACTGTACGCTGAATTTTTACCAACGAAACAACGCGCTAAATGCGTAGTTTTACTCGACGTAAGTAATGTAATAATATTAATCATGTAATGTTTGTGTAGGTTTATATTTATAATTTGTATTGCTTACAGTGTTTTTGGGCATTGGGGGCATGTTTGGAGGTAGCTGTGGCTCTCGTAGTAATGCCCACACTTGGAGTTCACTGGTTATTAGCGATCTCTACTATCCCACTTTTGATTTTTGCTATAATATGTCCGGTAAGTAATTTGTCTCTACCTATGGCATTGCTTAAACATTATTCTTTTTGCGGATTTCTTCAATTGTCTGTGGTTTACACAAGTATTTTTGTTGAACTATTTTTAAACATGTAGTTCTATGTTTTAGGTGTTGCTTTACATATTATAAGTATAAAGTTTAATTAAATGGCGTTCGAGTCTCCCCGTGAAAGCATTCGAAATGTCGGGTCGTAGTTAAACTAATTTTCAAATAAGTGTATTGTTTAAATGTGTACTACTAGCTTAAACTACAGACATTTTAAATAAAACACTTTAACTGTTTAAAACGCGATATGTTAGTTAAACTTATTTGAAAATTATTTTTAACTTCGGCCCGACGTTTCGGATGCTTTGCAGCAGCCGTGGTCACGGGGAGACCAATAATATCGCAAATATATATCGCGTTTTAAACCGTTAAAGTGTTTTAGTTAAATTTGTACTACTAGCGTAAACTACAGACAGTATTTAAGTAAGTAAGTTGATATTAGTAGTGTACTGCTTCTGTGTATATTTAAAAATTAATATATAATTATGTTTCAGTGGCTCCCTGAGTCAGCACGTTTTCATGTAGCTAGTGGTCAGCCGGATAAAGCTTTAGCAACACTAGAAAAGGTAATCTACATAATTACGAAACTCAAACTTCGGGGTTAAAAGAATATTTGATCAATTAATTCTATTCTATTCTGCTATAGATATGGAATAGTTTGAAATCTATACTAATATATAAAACTGAAGAGTTTGTTTGTTTGGACGCGCTAATCTCAGGCTACAGTTTTAAAGAACTTTTTTTATGTTCGTTAGAGTATTTATCGAGGAAGGTTATAAAGCATTACCCTGTGAGTAATACAACAAGTACAGCGAGAAATTATAAAGAAAATGGGAAAATTATTCACTTGTTGGTTTCCGAGGCGTAGTAAAAACGCTTCAAGATACCAAAAAATGTATGAAAGTCATTCCCCTTTTAATGATTCAAAATAAGTGCGCGAGTTATATGTCTATCTCTGAAGATGAACTTGCAGGAACGACAAGAATGGTCGCGACGGACCTCGTGGGTAACAGCTTAAGATTGTAAAGATGAAGGAGTTTGCAAAAACGAATCTGGATGCCCATACTAACGACTCTCCCGGACGAAGTCGCTGACACAGCTAGTATAAAAATATTTTCGAACTCCATAATAATTATTAAATACATTACTTCGCCAAAGTATTGCCTATAGCTTTTATGTCTTGTTACAGATTGCCCAAGATAATGGACGTCCCATGCTATTAGGGCGTCTAGTGTGTGACGATTCTGTGGGAATAGGCCAAAGGGGAAGACTGAAACATCTTCTAATACCACATTTGCGAAACACCAGCCTTTTGCTTTGGGTTATATGGTATGAAAATATTATTACTCATAAATTCATCAATGTAACATTAACAATAAAATATTAAGGGGGGAAGGCGTTTCGAAAATATTAAAATCAAATAATATAATCAGAATGACTTTTTAAACACTAAAGCTAAATCTAATAGGTATTAAACCTTTTACGGCCATATTTATAATGCAAATTTTTTTAAAGAATTAAGTTTTTGGTCAGATTAGAGTAAAACGTTTAATTTAATGTATATTCAGGATGTCATGTGCGTTCTGCTACTACGGTCTTGTACTAATGACTACGGAGCTATTTGAGACAGGCCCATCTGGTAGTGAAGAGGCTTGCGCGGCAGACTGTCGCCCGTTGCAGACCACAGACTATATGGATCTCTTGTGGACTACGCTTGCGGAGTTTCCGGGTTTGTTTCAGTTACCAGTATTATCTATTTAAGCTCAGGCGTACATGAGTATTTTTACATTGGACAGCTAAAACGTGTGCCTGCACTATCATTATATAAACAATCAAATATCCATATATATTAACTTATTTGTTTAACACTTAAGCCAGCTGACTTAAGTGTTAAACAAATAAGTTAGGACTTTGCCCGCGATAACCGTTATTTTGGGCATACAAATTTTTACAAACCCCTTCATCTTTCTAATCTTAGCTGTTATACACGATGTTGGTCGCGTCCCATCCTGTCGTTCTTGCAAGTTTATCTTAAAAGATAGACAAATAGTGTAGCGGAATTTTTTAGATCATTTAAAGAGGCATTATTTTTTCATTTCATTTTTTGGGTATCTTGAACTGTTTTTGTAGCGTACAGCTTGGAAACCCATAATGATGAATACTTTCCCCATTTTTTTTACATTTCTACCTGTATCTTTGTTTGTATTAATCACAAGGCGATGTTTTATAGCCTTCCTCGATAAATGATGTAACCAACACAAAAAAAATGTTGAATTCGAACTGTTCCTGAGATTACCGCGTTTAAACAAACAAACTCTTCAGCTTTATATATTAGTGTAGATTTCTACTTATCTTTTTTGGGCGTACAATTTTTTTTACAAGTTTCCATAATTATGACTAGACAGTAGTCATTAAATGTATTTACGTTATTTCCTAACTCTTAGATAAGCATAATTACAAATAAGACTTATATGGTAGGTAATTAGAGTTATTTGCAGCAATTATTGATACAAAAAAAAAACTATTATAATTTGCAACGTTACATTCATGTTTCGATGAATTAATGAGCTATCGAAAAGTTTCTTTGCCCTAAATAATATTCTGACGATTTCCAGGTATCTTCGCAACTATTTTTATAATAGAAAAATTTGGTAGAAAGAGGACTATGGCGATACAATTCGTGATTTTCGCAATGTGTGTTTGTGTGCTTATTTACAATACCAAGTGAGTGGCTATATTACTTTTTAATACATTAATTCATTAAATAGCGCATAATTCACACAGTTAGACGGCATGTTTTTAGAGAATTGTTTTTAATTTTACAGTAGAATTAGTTATAGTAAACAATCGATACCTATCGTCTACTCCTGTTCACTGCTCCTGGTCTTTTTATAGCCCAATAATGTGTTCATAATATAAATAAGTATTAATTTGGGCCATTGTTTTTGGGCACGTCACCCTATACACTCTTTTACATGGTGTACGTATTCTAACTGTGTACAAGTCTGTGCAAGTGTTCAATAGTATTTGATAAACATTATCTAGACTTAAATAATACTCTGTAACGGTTTACGCGAATATAGTAGTTACACATTTGAAAATAATTTTAACACTTACGGCTTTGCAAAACTGAAATCACGGAGAAATTGAAAAAATTGACGTAGTAGCTGTAACCTCTACCAATTTAGTATCAAGCAACAGCTCTACCAATTTTTAAAAAGAAAAGGACTTGAACCGGCATGCTTCAAGTTACCGTAGCAGACAGCACGAACTCTTGACAAAGAGTGCCAAATAAATAAAATAATTTAAATATTCCAATTATTGCTCCGATCTAGTTGTATTTTGCTTTGTGTATATACACATTTTTCGAATTATTGAGTTGTCTTAGACAATACGATTTTTAAATTATCTTGCTACTTATTTATTTAAAATATTTTTTTTCAGCCGAACATTTTTGACCTGCGTTTTGTTTTTGGCGCGCGGGATCATTGCTGGTCTCTTCCAAGCTGCCTACGTTTACACACCAGAGGTCCTTTTCCACTATTCTTAATATTTTAGTAATATTATTACTATTAGTTATTTATTTAGCACAAAAGTCTGATCAGCCAGTGATTAAATCGGATCAGTGAAGCAGACACAGAAATGTATTCCCCACGTGGGGAAACGGGATTTCACACACACACACATACACACATTCTATCTTCCTTCCGTTTAAGTTTTATAAATAATAAAATATCCCATTTTAATAATATTATGATAAATTATTATTAATCTTCATCAAATTATATACAATAAAATACATTTAACGGTGCAAAACGCGAATTATATTTGTTTGATTTTTTTAATTTACTTTAACTATGAACCGATATTTCGTACGCTTTGTTGCGGAAATGGTCACAGGGGATAGACAATACTTAAGAAATGTATACTTTCAGGTGTATCCAACAGCTTTAAGATCTACAGCTGTTGGTGCTTGCAGTGGGGTGGCTCGTTTGGGTGCCATGGTCACACCGTATGTAGCCCAGGTATGATATTAACAGTCCGTAGCCATAGAAATTATTTAAACATCATCAAAAACCTGACTTAGACAGAATATTTGGCGTGTTGGCAGATAAATTATGTCGCCAGATTCTTGACTGCACAGCTTAATGATAAATTGTTTACAGCAGCAAGGATCGAGTTCCCAACTTAGAAGAGCATGGTTACCAACTGTATATGAAACTAGCTTTGTCAGCGACGTTATTCATCCAAAGCCGAGCATCCAAATTCGTTTCTCCCCCTCGTCTTTATAAACCTACGGGTAAAATTGTTACCCACGACGTCGGTCGCGTCCCTTTCTGTCGTTCTTGCAAATGAATCTTAAAAGATAGACGTATAGCGTAGGGGACTTTTTTAGGTAATTTAAAGAGTAATCATTCTTTCATACATGTTTTTTGGGTATCTTGAGACGTTTTCGCAACGTACCCATCTGAAATCTACAGAGATGAAAATTTTCCCCCGTTTTGTTCACATTTCTCGCTGTATCTTCGCTCCTATTAGTCACATCGCAATGTATAGCCTATAACCATCCTCGATAAATGCTCTAACTAACACAAAAATAATTTTTCAATTGGAACCCGTACTTCCTGAGATATAGCGCGTTCAAACAAACAAACTCTTCAGCTTTATATATTAGTCTCTGGCCAAGTCAAGATTTGTGTTTAGAACTGTTGTGAACTATTGTGTTAGGAATGTTCCGAGCCAAAAAGGTTGGCAGCACATCTTGTGAAAGGTTACATGCCGGGGTAATGCTCCTTCCCCTAACCACGTGCTCGTCTGCCCTCTTTCATCATAAAAAGATTTGGTTCTATATCTTGGTATAAGTGGTATACTAAAAGATAAAGGCATATTTTTAATATTCAAATTTCGTTTTCAGGTTCTTCTAAAAAACTCAATCGTGATTGCTACAGGTGTCTACTCGTTTGCTGCACTATTAGCTGCGCTTGCGTGTCTTGCATTACCGATTGAGACGAAAGGACGAGAGATGAGGGATACTATAACAGCGACTAGTTAAATTTCATTATGGGCAACGTAACGTGTTACGTTTCAAAATTTTTTCGTATTATATTAATTTATTGTACTTCTAACTTATCAGCCCCAAAGGCTCAATGTTAAAACGCATTGCCGACGCAAAAGTAAGTAAACAAGATGGTTTGGGTCGGACTAGAATCAGAACTAAAATAAAATCGAAGTCACACTTTAGACATTACAATAATATTTCGTATAATTAAATAAAACACTTTAACGGTTTAAAACGCGATATATATTAGTAAGTTATTTTTAACTTCGGGCCCGACGTTTCGGATGCTTTTCAACAGCCGTGGTCACGGGGAGAGTAATGATGGAGGATGTCTCTGATGTCAGAGTAAAAATTTGCTACGCTAGCGCCATCTATTCCGTCGAAGTTGGTTTTTGGTGAATCTGGCCGGGCCTTGCAAAACTGACTAAATGTTGGGCGGAAGTTAAAAATAATTTTCAAATATATATATCGTGTTTTAAAATGTGTCCTATTCGCGTTAACTACAGACAGTATTTCGTGCATTGTTTTTGATATTAATAAATATTTTTCGACTTGTTGAGTAGTATTGTGTATTTATAATTTCTATATATGGATAATTGTTACGAATGAATGGCGTTAACCATTTAGTCTCGAAAGTGGTAATAATTTTTTAGGTAAATTACCTATATTGTAATATACTTTACACAAGTACTTAAAGACTGTTAATTCTTAATGGTAATTAGGTTTAACTAAATACTAAAACTTCCTATGAGTATGATCTTAAAGTTTTTTACTATAAATTCTTAACTTTTACTTCTTTGTAAAGGTTTGTTGACCATATATTAAGTATCAAGGTTGTAAATTATTTATGTAAGAATGTAGAGATGGCCCTTTTTAAAAGGATAATCAGTATTTACCAACCTAGTTAATAATGTCTTAACTAGGATCTCAAAGTAATTTAGAGTATTTGTTGTTATGAATTTACAGTTTTATCATAAAATGTAGTAATTTTTAGTAGTTATTTATAATCATTTGCATAGAACTGACATGTAAGCAATTACTTGCTAACAATTTAATATTTTAAGCACCTTTATCGTAGCCTATCCTAAGAACTTGATTTTGCACCACCTACACAATAACTAAGTAGGTAGTAATTGCTCTCAGAACTAATTTTCGACTGCAATAATAAATTAATTATAAGTCGTTTCCAAAGAAACTATTTTAAGAACTCTATGGTTTTTTAATGTTAGTATTACATACCGTCCATTTGTATCTATTGACTGTGTGATATTAAATTTAATAATTAACAAATTCATACTCAAAGTTTTATACTCTACGACTTTAGACTTACAACATAAAGACTGCTACGAAACGGATGTTTCAGCAGGGATATTAAAATTATTTAACAAATACAAGATTTAATGTTATGTTAATACATAACTAACACAATTGTTAGCTGTAATGTAATAAGGAAAATTAAAAGTCCTTCTAATTCGAAAACTCATGAAAAACGCTTTAGTCATAATTTATATGTCAATACTACTCTATAGATATAATCTACTTTTTGTACTCAATGCAATAAAACATCTTAATTTATATATTTAGTTAGTTTAGGGTAATGTGACAAAAAAAAACTTTTTATTTATGTATATGAGTATGTAAATCTCTTTTGGTTCTGTATAATGTAATGTACTATTTATATATTTTCATAAATATTGGTAAACATTTTAATTTTCTAATATATGCAAAATAATTTTATCACTTTCAATTTGTTATTGTAAAGCATTCAATAAAAATATTACGGACAAATATTATATATATATATATTTTTTCATTTGCTATATTGATTTAAAATCATTTTCAAATAAAACAAAGATTCTATACTAGGTATTTATTTTTGGAATTTCTCAATTTTCTATATAATATAAATGTGGACTTAACATGTTAGATAATTACAGTACTGACCACACACACTCTAGTATTAAGTTTGAGAGAATTATAATATAAAGACCAATTAAAATGTAATTCTTTGCTAAGATGATGTAGTTTGAATAATTCTCCCAATATTAAATTATACACCCCATCCATAACATCCAAATCAAAATTCAGTCCACTGGTATGTCAAAACTAAAATTATAACTGTTGATATTTACATTAAATCAGTCAGTTTCGGCATTATAAGCAACTTTTTAACCATAAAATAATTTTGTCAGTATTATGTGCATGTTGATACTACCTAGGCATTAAGAATATTAGACTCCTCCATATACAGAACACAACAAGATATGTACATCATAGCCCTTCAAATGTATGTGGATTCAAATTTTATAAAGTTTATAAAATTGGAGTCTTATAAGTTAATTTTCCTAAAGATAGAATAAATTATGCTAATCAATTTGAAAGGGGATAATCTTTATTTATCAATAAAGATAAGCCAAACATTAATTAATGACGAATACCACTATAAATATAATTATGATCAATGGAATTAATACTGTCTGAGATCAAAAACAGTTTCAATGAACAAGGGCAATTCAAGCAAATCAATTAACATTATATAATATTCTGTAAGCGGTGGGGCAGTAACATTACATTAATATAACTCTTAGTTAATATTTTAGTTCAGTATCTAAGTCTTCCTTATATTATACATTGTAATTATGACAGCTTGAACAGCAAAATAAAAAAGTTATCTTCAAAATACTTCCTCTGGTTTGTGATGACAAATTGACAGCTGCCTCTTGTGATAAACTGACCCTTAAAGTAATACAATGTCTATCCTAAGTGCACAAAAATCACAATCACAATGCAACCTAATGTTTTACTTAACATAAGTAAATTTATAAGGTTTGTACTACACCCTATTATTATTAATCATCATCTAGTTCAATTACAATAGGCTCCACGTTTTTCGTAGCCTTAGTATATTCTTCTTTTAGATGAGATAACAATGTACACTTTGGTATTTTTAATTCTTCAGCTTCGTCCACTAAGCCTTTAAGTTTCTGCAACCTTCCCAAATCGGGAGCTGTTGGTAAGAGAATATTCTTTGTTTCAGTCATCCATTTGTCAAAGCTGTTTACTCTAAAATCAATAGTCTGCAGCATTATGTGTAACTCATCCATGTCATACCGATAAAATAATGTCTTTTTATTAAAAGCACATTTGCACAGTTCATCTGCATGTTGTAGACAAGCCATATGCTTACACTCTTCACATGAAACAGATGACAAAAAGCATGTAGTCTTACACACTTCACAAAGCCTTTCATCATCACCGAGCAATTCAAATGGCGTTCTTTTTACATTTTTCAAACCCTTTTTTGCAACCAATGTTCTTAAACATGTCTCTTCCTCTGTTGCATTTATTAGTTCTTTTTGTGTTTCTAGTGCAGTTTCCAAATCTAATCTATCACCATCTAATGCCATTTTACATATTAATTCATCATGGGAAAAGACACAAAACCTTTTAAGATTTTTATAATGACTTATACATTCTCTACCTATTTTAAGCCAATCAGGAGGAGCAAAGTTAACAGCTTCAGCAAAGTTGTAACCTTGATTAAACCCTGCATGGTATGCTCTAGGAAATGTGACTACAAATTCACCAGCATTTTGATCTGTCCGGTATATTGGCACTCCAGCTGCCATAAGAATATTGGGATTCATAATAGTAACTAATTGGTGTAGTAAATCAGGTTGTGTTTTAAATAAATCAGGTGCTGCTGCTTTCATAGCATTTTCTAGAAGTTCTGCACCTTTGCCTGGTACTCCATACCAAGTTTTTGGTTCACCCCAATGTAAATAATTAATAGAATAACTCCAATGGTCTTCATTGTGCCAACAAAATGCTGAAAAGCACATCCCAACGTACATCCATGGTACAGTCATACCGGATATATCTGCATTAATAAATCTTAGAACTGAACCATCTAACACAGGAAGATTGTTTAAGTTCCAGCCAGAATCTACATATTCTTGGTCATCACGAAATAGATTAATAGATGACTTAGTAGGAAATCCAGACCCATGATCCATTGAATGTAAATCTGCTCCATATTCAACCGTTACATCTTCTTCTACAGATGATATTATCCTCCAGAATTCTTTTTCGGCCACATTTGTTGGTACTAAATGACCCAACATTCCAAAATAATCAGATTTGAATTTGTCTGCCATTTCACCAAACTGTTGAAGAGAATATTCCCTCTCTGCTTGAGCAAATCCAAACGCTTCAGCAGGTTTGTGCACTACTTCTGCTATGCAACGCGGACAGCGCCAATCGCCATCCGGTACCACATTTAATGGCGGTTTTAGGCAGAATGTATGGTATGTATCAGAACATCCATTACATATAAGAAGTAAGTCATCTCTGTTATCTTTTTGGCAAATAGCACATACATAATCAGCCAAAGGATCTAAATCATACCTAGGCCTTTTTCTACATTTTGTGATATCAAACTCCTCATCATTCAACCCAGGCATTTTTGGTCCAGGCCCGAAACAAGCTAACCTTCTTAACTCCCTATTGCGCTTCACAGCTTCACTGTTTTTTGTGTCTTCACTATCAGGCTTTATATCTGAACCAGTTTTTGTTTTTTTAATGCTTGTATGTGGTTTCTCATCTTTAATATATTCTTCCTTGGCACTTTTTATAGACTCTATTGACACTTCTTTAATTAAAGGCTTATCTGGATCTACGTCATTGTTTGGATCAGTTTTAGGTTCAGATTTTTTCACTGCTTTTAAGATATCGGCTTTACTCTTTTCGAATATGTCATACGGCAGTAAGATTTTCTCGTAATTACCTCGAAGAAAATTCATCGTATTAGCATTTTGACTATAACCCATAGCACTCGCTATCTTGCGCCATTTTTTAGGAGAATTACAATTCTCAAAACCACCTTCTTCATCAACCCAAAATTTTAAGCAATACAAATCCAGTGTTTTATTTTCAATCATCGGAATTTTAAGAGGCGAACCCTGCAGCTCCCAAAACTTAAGAATTTTTTCAAGAAATAAAAGTTTCAGTCGCGTTATCGCCTCTAATTCGTTAACTTTTTGTATGCGTGGAACAAATTTAAGCTTATCCACGTCTAATGAAAAAGGTGGCTGCCAGCCAGATGGAGGCTTTATTTTACAAATCCCCGTTTTTTCGGCCACGGGACGTATTTTCGCTATATATCCTAAAGGGTCTGCAAATTCTTCTGGCGTAGGCTCAAAAACAGGTGCTTCGGGTGGTGGTGTGAAAGTAAACTCCGCAGTCTTGTGCATGGCATTTTTCTGTATATTCTTGCTATCCATTTTGATTTAGTTCGAGTTATGTTAAATTGGAGCCAGGAATTTCAACAGTTATTGTTCTATCAAGGTATAAACAAAAATATCGATTGTTTCAACATTGCACTGAAGAAAACATAGTCTACGTGACTTCTCGACATGTGTAAATGGCTCCTAAATATTTTTAAAATGCTCACGAACACACTTCTGTCAATCTATGATTTGGTGAACAATTTGTTTAGAATTCAATGTATTTCATTAATTCAAACTTCATTTATTTTACGAAGTAATAAAACGTGTTCTTTCCCCTGATACATAGTTCACTGGTAGTGTGTCTCTTTTGTGCCTACCAAAATTATTTAATTTAACTTCAAATATACTCCATATTAATTAATGTCCATTGTTCCTATTTCAACATTATAAGTCTCCGAGTATCACACTTACAGTCTGTCTTTATTTATTTAATAACTAATTACACTAGTCCACACGCAGTACAACTAACGACATTGCGATCTGCGATGAAAAAAACGAATACACAGAAGTCAGAACCATCACAAAGTATATGCACTATACGAAACCATGAAATTAAATTCCCATCCTACGAAAATCGAAATGGAACTCGAAAGCGACAATGGTAAATCGTATATTCTATATACACGCATACAACTAGGTAGTGTGTACGACTTGTGATTGGACGAATTTATCACAAAACATAGTTCACAGATAACTACACCGTAATATGTAATACTGGTTTTATTATCTGAGCTAGCTCTTTGAGTAGTCTGCCTTCTGCAATCTGCACTCTGCAGAAGTGTGATTGAGGAAAGTTTGTTTATATTTTCATCCGTTTTTATATTGGAGTTGTTAAAAATATCTAAACCAATTACTCATATTTGTCTCTTAAGTATTTGTTATGGTTGTGTAATAATTCAGTAAGGATGTTGCATACCATTTTTCGCGCGTTTCAAATTAGTCCAACACAAGTGCAACAACTAAGGTTAGGTCATACAATTAGAGGAAAGGCACCGACTAAGAGCAGGACAATAAGAGAACGAATTGACGAGTTAAATTATAAAGATGAAATATACACTACAAGAATTGATATTGGATTTGCTGCTGAAAGGTAAACATTTAGCCAGAGAACTAATTAAACACCTAGATCAATTAAGTATGGAATCCTATTGTTACATCAAGCTAAATTGTGTATTCTATCTTCCAGAAAATCTAATAGTCGTCAAGAGCAAATAGATCATATAAAAAAAATGAAGAATGACAAACAGCTTGAACAGTTGGCCAGAAACCATCAGTTAGTCATAGACTTAGAGGAGTCAAAGAAAGTGTGGCTGGAAACACTAGGGCCACACCACAAAAAGCAAATAGCTGATCATTATGGTGTTTTTGAACACTTGTATGGGGAAGGCTTCTTTACACCACATTTAAATTTAGAAATTTTCTATGATGTAAAAGATTTATGCATACCAGTGTATACGGGGAATGTCATTAAACCCAGTGAAGCTATACAACCTCCAGTAGTTTCATATAAAAGCGATGCAGATTCATTATGGACTCTTGTCTTGACAAGCTTAGATGGTCATTTAACAGAACACAATAAGGAGTATGTACATTGGCTTGTAGCAAATATTCCTGGAGGGGATGTAGATAAGGGTGATGTAATGATTGATTATCTTCAGCCCTTTCCATTGAAAGGCACTGGATACCACAGATATGCTTTTGTATTGTATAAACAGGACAACAAAATCTCATATGAATTACCTAAAGGCAAGTATTTACACAAGACCACAATTAATAGTGAAATTAAAGTAGTCCCTGGTTTGAATACTCAGGTAACATAATATTGTGAACTAAAAGCCAGCTTGACGGCTTTTAGTTTATAATTAACAACGGCTTGCCTGAAAATAAAATTGTATTTTGCAACATTGCAGTAAAAGCAACAGAGTAAAGTTTATATTCTTTTCAGTCTTAACATCATCCCTTGAAGGCAGAACCTTTGTTACAAGAGATTGGTATAAAACCCACCAAGAAGTCATTACCCCAGCTGGGCTAGCTTTCTTCCAAACCAGTTGGGATTTAAGTGTCAGGGACTTCTTTCACAACATTCTTCAAGAAAAAGAACCAAGTAAGTAAAAATTTGGCTTTGTTAGGTCAAATTATTACAGTGAGTTTATTCGTTGACATTATCTTTACTAATATATTTAGCTGAAGAGTTTGTTTGTTTCTTTTTACGCACAAATCTCAGGAACTACTGGTTGTAATTGAAATGTGTCAGTTAGTCCATTAATCGAGGATGGTTAAAAAATAATATTGGGCTGTGACTAATAAGAGCAAAAGAAACTGCTACAAATGTGGAAACACCGCGAAAAAAAAATCCAACGTATTATGGGTTTTCAAGGTGTACGCTGCGAAAACTGTTCAAGACACCCAAAAAATATGTACCCAAATAATAGTATGAAAGAATTACTCCTCTTTAATTTATTAAAAAAATGTCTTCCTATTTATTGCGATTTTTACCTAAAGCCTTCCTCCATAAATGCTATAACTCAAAATTAATTTTTCAAGTTGAACCAGTAATTTCTGAGTTTAGCGCATTCAAACAAACCAACTCTTCAGCGTTTTAATATTAGTATAGATAATAATAATCATTTATTGGTCAGACCATTGATGCATTTCTTAAATTTTAAGAGTGTTAGTTAGGTTAGTAACAATTTGACTTAATTGGAATATGAGTACTAAAGAAACAAGGAAAAACAGTAGAATACCATAGGTGCTAGTAGCGGGATCAGAAACTACACGCTTGCGGATGACAGCGTAGAAACCATCATGTGCATGCTTCCGCAAACGTGTCTGACACTACAGTAACTTGACAAGCCGAGAGCATCTAATGCTCTCTGAGAGAACAAGCCCCATAAGCTTAACAAGTTATTGGCAATAAGTAAATAATAACGATTTTGACGTCGCGTGAACTTCGTCTAAACCTCTAGGCCAACATGTAACCCCTCACTATGTCATTATTAGTGATTCATTATAAAAAACCTGACTGACGATATAATGGATTTACTGTTTTCAGTTTATGAATATGACTTCCCGGAGCCTTATATTCGAAAACAGGAGTGGTTTCCACTAAGAAGGCCGTTTAATTTATACATGGATAAATATAGAGACCCAAAAGAAGTTAAAAAGGAGTACTTGCTTTGGAAACTGAAAAATGAGGATCCATTCAAGAGCCCAGAACCGCCACTAAAATTCCCTAACGCTCAGCCACTACCTAAATCTATGCCGTCATGGTTGAAGCTTCATGAAAAGAAATTACGACTCCAGTGGGGTAGAGTTAATGATGTGTAAAATATATAACGGTATTAAAACACTGATAGTTGAATGTAACACAATAGTTTTTTATTTCTTTGCTTGGTTTAAAACTTATTGATGGTATCTTCAAGATTGGGTCATAATGCAGGCAGACAGGTAAATAAATATACAGTATATTTTAAAAATATTTATTTCAAGACAAAATTTAAAACACATTTAGAATTCACAATTGGGTACAGACTACAGACACTTGCTGTTACTGTTAATTTAATGAAAGAAAGACGCTGACTTCATATGAGAGTCATACATGAAGCCAAGCAATTAAATGTTTGGTTTAGCTAAATATACTGCAAAATAGTAAATTTCTGACGTAGTATAAAGTAAGTGCCTTATATTACATAAGGATGGACTGGAATAGTATACAGTTTGATATATTTGTTTTAAAGGGTATCCTTCATATCAAATATGGCTTACAGAGAAAACTGAATAATAAATGCAATGGTGTGACATATTTAGATTTTTAACGACTAGTTCAATATCAAACTAACTTGGAACATAAAAATTAAGAATTAAATCTGCCAATTAAATTTAAATTATATTAAGGTGTTACATAGTTTGGTGCTACTATGCTACAGTAGCTATATAGCTATATATTCAGTGCTGTTCTTAGTCAAGGCCAACGTCATCGTCGTAGGATTTGGGCTCTGGGTTTGTAGCGCCGCCTGCGTTCGCTCCGTCAGTACCAAAGCCTATATAAAAATTAAAACACACAAAATATATATAGGTATTCATATATTATTACTGTTTCTTGAAGTAGTAGCCATTGAGTGTGTTGAAAAGTGATTTTCATTATTATAATATGTTTAAAATAAAACTGATTAAATTTCAGTATTATCTTTAGTTCTCGGGATTAGTACATATTCAATTAAACGCTTTAATTAGTTAAAAGTGAAGAGTATGGCAATATTTTCAGAGTAGGTATTTTTAATAAATCGTAATGAATCCTTATTTTGACACAAAAAGAAGATTTTATTCTATTTATACACTGTGAAGTACTCAAAACAGTGTGAACTGCAAAATTACCTACGAATGACGTCACTCGCTGCAGTTTTTTATTTTAATGTTATTTTTTTCAATATAGACGAAAGATATCGTCTGATATTTATTAGTAATTAAACTTCGATCCAGTGTAAAGTGTTTTATACAATGAACGAAACTTTTTTTTCCTTATCACAACATTTCATACATATTCACTACCGTTGTTTTTAACTCGCCTTTATATTACCTAGCTATAGAGACAGTTCAATACTTACGCGGAACACCTTGATCGCCGAATTTCTTCTTCATCATTTCCAAAACAGCCATCACTTTAGGATTGTTTTGATACTTAGCAAAATTTGCTGGGTTTGATGATACATCGTAGCAGGCCTTTGTCACTTCAGGGTCCTACAATGGAAAAAGGTGGTTTCTAGACGTTAAAAACTGAAAAGCTATGCTAATATATTTACATTTCTTTTTTTTATGTAAAAAAAATCCGAGCAAAACGGCAAGAAAATAAATAAAAAAACCTGTTTTATATCTGTGTTTGTTGTTATCGCAAAACAGATTAACAACTATTTCGATTTATGAGATACAGGCTGGTGATAGGGAGACAGGCAGTGTAGTCTTAGATAGTTTGAGACTAGGTATAATAGCCGGCAATTATCTTGAACAGTTTATTAATTAAGATTCACAGTGGTCATTGCGTAGTTCTCTTTGGCGGAACGAACGGGACGCGAGCGCGCTTTCGCCTGGTATTGGTAAACCTTTCGGCTCTCCCGTCCCGCTTCGTCTTTACGTTCCGTTTGTTAACAATTACACTTGCGTGCACCTTTTTTGAACTCATTTAATTGTTGTATATTATAATTCCGCTGCTGTAATCTAAACTTGAATACTAATGATGACGACATTGACGACGAAGGCATCGGTGATACTGAACTCCAAATTACAGTTCAGATTCTACTAGCTTTGGTTTAAAATGTCAAATCATTTTTATGAAAATATATTTTGTAAAGAGCAAAAGTAATAAACGTTATATGTATGTCTGTTATATTTTTTAATACCTCCACTAAGAGAAAATACTTAAAAATGTCAACTATCTTGGGGATATATGAGATATGCCGCTTTTGTTCGAGAATTTACCGGCTATTATGTCATCATCAAATTAGCATACATAAAATTACCTCAAAAGCAGCCATCAAATCTGGGTCACTCAAAAGTTTATAGAAAACATCCTTGTCGAACATGCCACCAGCTCCTGGCATGCCACCAGCTCCTGGCATGCCGCCCGCTCCTGGCATGCCACCAAAACCTGGAATACCAGCTCCAGCTTCGGCTTGCTCACGCGCAGCATTCGCACGAGCTTCTTGGGCTTTGCGAGCTCTACGAAGTTTTTCGCGATGCTTTATGGAAATAAACAATAGAATAATAAGACATACATTACATTAAAAAATATATTTATGCTACACTTCTACCCTAAAGAAAATCATTACTTTTTAAATAACTTTGTTTAAAGTTAATCTGGACAATATAGATTTGAATTTGCCAGTTCAGTATCCTTATCAAGCAGATTCCAAATTAATTTTTAAATACACTAATATGCAATGCAATATAAACCTCTTTTTCTTCCTTCTTCCGCTGAACACTCAGTTTGTGTTGACGAAGTTTTTCAGCGTTGGGTTTAACTTCATTCAACCATTCGTTAGTTTGATCATCGTAATCGATCTTTAGAGACTCACAAAGATCGTGAGAAGCTGCATCAAATTTTCCTAGAAGCCTGAAAATTTTATTTCATAATTTAAATAGTTATACACAAAGTCAATTTTAATAGTGGTATCAGTAGCCATATAATATTTGGGGATATCTATACATATACATGTTGTGTAAATTGACGACGTCACAATTTGCCAGTGAGAAGTGAAATAAATGAGACGTTCCACTCGCAACGCCATCAACCACGATTCCTGGCACTACCAATGCACTCACGAGAGATAGCCGCGGGCGTTCTAGTCGCCACATCTTGAACGTTGTGGGCTCGCAAAATGGCCGCTTGGTGAAAACTTCAACTAGGGACCACTCTGACGGGCTTGTTTTGAATTATACTAATGGTAGCAATGTATGGCCAATGATCAACGGGTCGTGGATTCAATCCCCAACAGGTTCAACATGTTTTCTAATTTTACAATTTATAATTTATCTTTTATTTTCATCTGGAAATTTGGCTACTAAATGTGTGGTAGGAATATAGAAATGCCCGAATTCACGAACTACCATCCACAGATGAAAAAGCCGTGAAGCTTAATGGCGTTTCGGTTTTAGTTCGTGGATTTCCGAATATCAAAGGCCAAAATAGGTACACAGTACACAGTCCTCCTCTATCAATGAAAAAAAAAACTGACCAAACAATATTTTGTGCGCGAAATGGGTGCAAACAGTGACGTCATCTTTAAGGTCAAATCACAAGCCTTAGGTGGAACGTGTTACAATTATTGCGTTTAGTGGAACGCACCCTATATATCAATGGAATGTAAAATTGCATGGTAACATCAAATAGTTTGAAGAAAAGTTAAGGTTCCACTGACCTGTAAGCGCGTCCGCGGAATTTATACGCAGCAGCACTATCACAGTTGAGCTCAAGTGCATGAGTACAGTCCTTGATACAGGCATACAGCATGTTCATTTTAAGGAACACCTGCAAGACAGAATTGAGAATGTTTCCTTCATAACATGACTACATATGATACAGGCGAGACTGGTTACCATGACTAGCAGTATACCATGTAGATCAGGGATGCACAGACTTATTAAGACTTGGGGCCACTTGGGCAAATCATGAACCGCTAGTTAAAGATAATAATGTATTTAAATAGGATAAGAATTTATTAATTTGCTGTGGGCAGGCCATCAGTATCGGGGCCGGGGTCTGTGCATCTCTGGTAGAGATGCTGTACCACTTAAATCTACATACATCAATATTTTATTAGCATATCACCTCTGGATGTTAATTGATGTTACTAAATTGCAAGTTTAAATCCTACCTTGTTAATTGCTGTCTGTAGTTTACGGGAATACTACACATTTAAATGAGATACATTTTAACCGCTTAAAACCCGAAATGCATAGATAAACTTATTCACAAATAACTTAGTATTACAAGAACAGTACACGAACCAATTGAAATTATTTTGTTTCTTAATTAAAATTTTTAATAGTTTTCAATTTAAATCAACTACTTCTTTAATTTTAAATTATTTAGTTGTCCCCGTTGGTGAGCCTGTTAATATTATTTCATAATATCATTTGTATATAAATTACTAGACATTCTATATAGTCAAAGAAAATAACTTTAGTTCTTATTAAAGCTAATAAGATTATGTACAGATTAAAGACATTCTTAAATATATTTTTTACTTACTTGACCTCTTTTTGCATAGAGCAATGCACTTTGAGGATTAAGTTTAATAGCTTCTGTGTACAATGTGATAGCTCCTTCATAGTTCTGCTCTGAAAAAGCCCCCATTGCTTCAGAACGCTTCTCATCTGATTGATCTCTTTCTTCGTCTGTTATTTCTTTCGCTGCATCACCCATTTCCTGAGTCGCTTCTGATGGGTCTCCCTCAATGACACCTGAGGCATAACAGAAACATTATTGTCCTTCATAGTACAGGAATATAATTATTCTTTGCTGATGGCATTTAAACATTTTTTTAAGCAAAAATAAAATCTCAATGTGTGTTATGTACCCATTTGTTTTATGTTAAACATTTAATTTTATATTACATGTATTTGAGCAATTGCACATTGATTTTAAGCCAATTAAGCAGTTAATAAAAACAATTCAATATTAATACAAGACAAATATTTTCTGGACAAAACATTTGCCAGTTATATATATCTTTAACGGTTTAAAACGCGATATATTAGTTAAACTTATTTGAAAATGATTTTTAACTTCAGCCCGACGTTTCGGATGCTTTGCTTTAAACCGTTAAAGTGTTTTATTTAAATGTGTACTATTCGCGTAAACTATAGACAGTATTTATATCTTACACACATTTAACTGATAAGAGGTACTAATTTAGAAGAGTCAGTCAGAGATTACAACTCACAATTAAATCATCACATATTTTAAATACATTAGTGTAGTACATAATTTATCATCTGATAATGTATAAATAAAGTAAACCTTAGAATCAATTTTAGTCAATATTTTTTCATTAATGCCCTAAGCTACTCTCTAATACTGTTTTATTTCTATTTTATTAATATATTTACCTTCCATATCTAGTTCCACATCTGATTCGGGTTCAGTATCTTCAGATTCAGAAGAGGGTGCTTTAGCTGTATTTTCTTTAAAGTTACTGCCAGTCTGACTACAAATAAAATAAAGTAGGACTTTGTTAATATTGCTTAGTTATTATAAATGACACGAAAATTGCTTTTATATATAAATGATATCAAAAAATCTGTTATCTATAGGATTTCTGTTGTCTTTAATGATACAATTCACTAGAATTCATTGGAAAAAAAAATTCTTGCTATGTAAATACTGGTACATACCCATCTCCAGCAGCAGTAAAAGATTTTGTACCAAAGGTTGCAGTCGGCAAAATAACACCCAAGGATACCAAATAATCTTTGAAGAAAGATAGTTTCGGATGGTGAATAATTTGAGGTTGCGCTTTGCATAGCTCTACAAATGCCTTTAGTTGCACCAACTGCTCCTCATTAAAAGGGCAACTCATTGTGGATGAGTTAAACTACGTCTGGCGAAAACGAACAAAAGTATTTATTTAACTAAGCATAATTTCATTATGTATTGTTATACTTCATATCATAATTATTATTATACTTACGTCTTTAAAGTCGCGTAGCGTGCAAGATGCACCAATTAATTATGTTTATAAGAATGTAAATTTCTAGTTTCAAGAAAGTTCTTACTGATTTTGTTCAATACCGGACTTCGTTACAATAACTGTCATTACCGTAAAGATAAGATTAAAAAAGCCGCATCTTGTTCTGTCATTGACAATGACAGCATAATAACCTCTGTAGTATATTATTTGCAGATAACTGTCAGTAAACAGACTTCAATGCCAGTCACAGATAAGATTTAATAATATACTATATTTAAAACTAGCTCTATGAGAGCGATTTCGTCCGCGTAGAATAATTATTTTGGGCATCCAAATTTGTTTTGACGTTTATAAGTGTACTAAGCTACCTACATGAATTTTGATTTTTGTTTTCGCAAACTCAATTGCAACAATTTATGCTGCCCACGACATCGATCGAGTCCCGTCGTTCATGCAAGTTAATCTTCAGAGATAGACGTATAGTGTCGCGCACATTTTTTTAGATCATTTAAGGAGGTCTTTCATACATATTTTTTTGGTATCTCGCACCGTTTTCGTAGCGTACGCATCTGAAACTTACAGAGATGAAAAATTTCCCCCGTTTTGTTCACATTTTCCGCTGTATCTTCGCTTCTATTATTCATAGCGCGTTGTTTTAGCCTATAACTTTCCTCGATAAATGCTCTAACAAATTAAACTACAACTAAAAAAGATCTTTTTAGTTCGAACCTATCAGCTTTATATATTAGTATAAATAAGTGAAACAAAAAAAACTAGTCTGTATAATAACATTTAAACGAGGTTACAGTACAAAACAGGATAACGATTAAAAACAAAATAGAATTTGATTTCGCACTTAAAAGTCTCATTATTGTTTTCTTTGATTTCTTATAATTACCAATTGGTACAACTGCTACAATGCTTCTAAAAATGTACATTGTAGTAGCCGATTCATTATAATCCCATCATCATCAACAAATAAAATTTTAAGTGTAATGTTAGTTCTAATATTAACTTAAACTATATTTAATTTTATCTAAGGAGATAGTCACTCATAGATCACTTTGGTTTTAGATTAGAGATGAAATCTAGTTTTTTTATTTGAATACAACTATGTCCACGTATGAATCATTGTGTGATTCAGAAAACTTAATTTGGTTTATAACTACTATATACTTTATAATTTAAACAAAAATTAAAAAATTTCACCCGACTTAACCGCATTCACTTTCCTTTCTTCCAATTAGTACCGAGTCCTAACCTATTAATTTTAATTTATACATCACCTCTCCCAATGTAATTTTACCTTAAACTTTATTAAGCTCAATTCTTTCTTTGCACTTAAAAATATTAAGATAAATTACAAAGTTATAACGTTTGAAAAATTAATATTTTTCACATGTTATTGCACATGAAGCACTATATAATTTAAAAATAAAATAAATTGAAAAAATTTTCACCCAATGAACGCATCTCACTTCCTCTTTCTTCCAATTACTACAGTCCTAACCTTTAATTTTTTAACTTTTTACTCTCTCCAATTAATTTTCCTTACCTTTTTAAGGCTCAATTCTTCTTTCACTAAAAATATTGAAGATGAAATTACAAAGTTTACGTTTGAAAACATTAATATTTTTCACATTTATTCACATGAAGACTATATAATTTAAAAATCGAAAATAAATTGAAAAAATTTTCGACTCGCAGATAACGGTGTACTTTCCGTCTTTCTCTACCAATTGAGCTACCAGTCCTACACCTATTCAATTTTTTCAATTTACATCACCTCTCCCAATTAATTTCTCCTTCTTTAAGCTCAATTCTTATCTTTCACTTAAATATTGAAGATGAAATTACAAAGTTATAACGTTTGAAAACATTAATATTTTTCACATGTTATTGCACATGAAGCACTATATAATTTAAAAATCATAAATTGAAAAAATTTTCGACTCGCGGACTTGAACCGGCATCGTCATTTCCGTCTTTCTCTCCAATAGCTGAGTCCTACACCTCATCGTCGAATTTTTCAACTTATATACATCACCTCTCCCAATGTAATTTCTACCTTAACACTTTATTAAGGCTCAATGTCTTATGCTTTGCAGCTTAAGAAATCATTGAAGATGAAATTACAAAGTTATAACGTTTGAAAACATTAATATTTTTCACATGTTATTGCACATGAAGCACTATATAATTTAAAAATCGAAAATAAATTGAAAATTCTTAACTCAACTACTTACTTACGCAAGTGTTAAGGTAGAAATTACATTGCGCGAGAGGTGCATGTATCAATAAGTTGAAAAATTCGAATGAGGTTAGGACTCGGTACTAATCACACGGAAAGCTGACATGCCGGTTCAAGTCCTCCCGAGTGAAAATTTTTTCAATTTATTTTCGATTTTTAAATTATATAGTGCCTTCATGTGCAATAACATGTGAAAAATATTAATGTTTTCAAACGTTATAACTTTGTAATTTCATCTTCAATGATTTCTTAAGCTGCAAAGCATAAGACATTGAGCCTTAATACGCAAGTGTTAAGGTAGAAATTACATTGCGCGAGAGGTGCATGTATCAATAAGTTGAAAAAATTCGACGATGAGGTGTAGGACTCGGTAGCTCAATTGGTAGAGCAACAGCACGGAAAGCTGACGATGCCGGTTCAAGTCCTGCCCGAGTCGAAAATTTTTTCAATTTATTTTCGATTTTTAAATTATATAGTGCCTTCATGTGCAATAACATGTGAAAAATATTAATGTTTTCAAATACTATATACTTTATTCGCCAAACCTAATTAATATTAGTAAAAAATGACTTGCTAATCGACGGAATTACGTAAATATGTCTCATATAGTTATGATTAATAAGAAAAGTAAAAAGTTTGTGGGTAATTTCGATAATTAAATTAATCTACATCATTAAGGTTGCTTAAAATAGACAACGAAACGACATTACGATTTATTGTGACCGTGACAACGGAGAGAAGATCATCAATTTGGATACAATATTGTTAATAATTAGAAATATGTATTATTTAACGCTTTTATTAACTGTTTCACAATTATGTCTAATACATGGTAAGATAATTATTAAGTAATATTATTCGTTTTGTAACATGTCATCTATCAGATAATAAAAAGACGATATTTTTAACGAAACTTATGGTAATATAACTTTTGAATAATGAACGATACTAAGTCAGTAAATGTGAAGATAGTTTTATATAGTATTTCTAATCTTCAAATTTGTTTTCAGCTGAAAGTAAACATGAAAAACTCGAGAAACAAAGTGCCTTCGATTTAGACAGTATCCTGGGTAATCTTTTTTCAACAATGCCGGACGCGACGGAAAATCCGCGAACAAATTACCCCGGTGACTTATCTAATTACCCTACAAATGGAGTTCAGGTAATTAATTGATATTGAGTTTATTTCTTTTAAGTCATTTACAACTTTATCATCATTTAAATAATTACCAATACATTGGAAAACTTTCTAATTTTTCACATGTTATGCATTATATACATTACAATGTATTAATATTTAAAAAAAAATACGTCACGGACGGACTGGAACCGACAACGTCCCGTACCGCTGCTCTAATTATTGAACTACCGTGGCATCTTCATCTCGTCTTTTTAAATGTAAATAGATTTTCGTACCAATACGTATTATTATTTTTTATTTATAAAAAGTGTAATCCCGTTTCCCTCTTGTGGGGCATGGGGCGAACACATTTTTGTGTCCGTATCACTGATCCATTCTTTAACAGGCGAGTAGATCAGACTTTTGTGCCCTGCCCGACAGAAACAATTTTTTGTTTCCCTGGGATTCGAACCCAGGACCTCGCACTTAACGCAATGCTAGGAAATACGTTTAACCATTTGGCTACAGAGGCGGTGAGATAATTCTAAAATAGAACACTAAATTTCGATTAAATTCAATACTCCTAAGTGGAGCATAGATCCTTTTTATTTCAAAGAGTGTTTCTTTATTAATCATGTTACAGGCAAACAATCCCCAAGGAAATAATTGGAATAATGGATACGACAACCCCAGAATGAATTATCCGGCTAATTCACGACATTATCCAGGAATCGCAATTCAGGTGAATTTTATACCAATCATCCTTACATTGCTTGCCTTACAAAAACTCCAAATTTGTTAGAAATGTTTTCCCTACTAGATACATAATGCATATGCTGGAAGATCTAATTCACAAGAAATAGTCGGTCGCTTGTGTCTTGTCCGACCGAGAAATATATTCCTGCACTGAAACTACACTCGTACGATAAACATGCGTGGTTTTAAATTGTAATTTAGTTTGTGTCATAATTATTTATTAAAGGGACAAGAGCCACAGACGACTGCTGGCCATGGGAATATTTGGCAACCTGGAACAGCTGGATTACCAACCAATCAACTGCAAGTAAGTTTCATGCTTAACATTGTCTCCAGAAGTATACTGATCTGTACCGTAATGCCGTTATTAGATTCGACGTACCGTTCTATTTATTAATGTTATGCCTCAATACTTTAACGAAATTATATAAAATTTGCTTTTATGACACTTTCGACGGGCTTATTAGCCCAATGTTAGCAGTATTAGGTAATAATCAACAATAGTGCGTTCAATTCCCACCAGTATCAACATGTTGTTTAAAAAAATATATATGTGAAACATGTTAGACTTCATTTGGAAATCTGTAATGGGTGGCTGAAATATTGAATTTTCAAACGGGCCACGGACTACCGTAGATGGAAAATGCCGTAAAGTGTAGTTTGTTTTCAGTCTGTGGATTTCTGAATGTTCAAAGCCAAAGTTGGTCGATATCGCATATTGCCAGGATTAATATGACTGAGGTAATTTGCCTTCCACTAAGTGAAACCAATGCCGTAAAAATGTTATTTCCAAAAACAGTGATTTTGGCTGAAATTCTTTTAGATATGTATATGTTTTTTTACGATACAGTTAAAATATGGCACAATTCATTCGGACTCTAAGATAATTCACATATATCTTTTTATTGTATGGCTGTGACACTTTTTGATCTTTGAAATAATTTAACAGGGAAACTATCCTCAACAAACGAACCCAGCAATCTGGAATAATCCTCAAGCTCAAGGTTACCCACGAGGAGTTCTACAAGTATGTTGCTAAATAAATTATAATTTACAGTATCAATTAGATTCGTCAATTTGGTAGGTAACATATACAATAATAATTGTCGATAAGAAGCATGTTAGACCCGTGGTGATCGACTCCTCGACACATTGATTGTTAGCAATTGTTACTTATAGATCAATGAGGCTAAATTATGTTTTTTGTTCAATACTATGTTTTGTCTTGCTGAGGGAAACTTAATTTGATAAAATTACTAATCTGTATAAACTTTTTGCGAAACAAATTGCGAATTTGGATGCCCAAAATACCAATTATCGCGGACGAAGTCGTACCAAATACTAATGGTAATCTATTTTTGTTTCATAGGGCAACCCAACGCAATATCCGGACTCAAGAAGGAATTGGAACGGAGCTGGTGCAAACATGAATTCTAATTATCCACCAGACACGCAGACTTATCCTCACATACAGGTATATTAAAGTATATACAGAGACTACTACCATTTACAAATAAATAACCCAGCTTGTAGAATATAATAAGGAGAGGTTGATAATTGATACGTAAAGTTACATGTTATACACATCTATAAAGTACATGTGCGTCATTAGTTAATTAAGTAATACGATACGATCACTGCTTTAAACTACCTGAAACTACCCACAAATAATTTTTTAAGGTATATTTGTTATATATTGCAGAATGGTAGGCCTTATCCGGGTATGGAAAATGTACAAAATCCAAATTACTTCCCTCAAGGCGTTAATAACGACGGGCTACAAGTAAGTTATGAAAAAATATTTTTATCGATTAGTTGTTCATTTTTGCAATTTCTAATTAAATAATCTTAAATTAATAAACAATATCACGTAAATAAAGACTTAAATTAAATACTATAGTTGCCTCTGAAAGGGAAGCCACTCCCCAGCCCTTGGGACTGATGTCCCAACACTGATATTCTGTGGCCCCTTTATATAGTGTTATTATTTGATATAGTCATAGCTAAAGTAAAATATCATTAGTGGAATGCATGTGTGTGGGTAGTAAATGCGAGAGGTCATGGGTTCGAATTCCCGAGAATACATAATAAAGTTTTTTGGACTCAAGTCTTGTGAGTTTTTAACTGACGTGAAACCGTATTTCACTTTTTGGTAAAACTTCAACGCGTCCTACGCGATCTAAAACATGGCGTAAGCAAATTATTCTATAATTTAATTTCCACTCCGGAAAAACTCTAGCATGCTAATTTCAACACGGAAAGTATTTTTAGAAACTTAACCCTAATTACCCGAATGCAAGAAATAATTGGAATAATGGTGCTGTAAATCCGCGTGTTAATTATCTTGGGAACCCTCAGCCGTATCCAGCGAATGGAATTCAGGTAACTTTCGTGATTAACTCGACTTTTCATTAATGAGATTTATTCCTAAAACATGACATTTAAATTCCTGACTTCAAAGACAGACAAAGTTCGAATCATTCCCGTTAACACGAAGAGCTGAATTACATAAATAGTTTATTTAATTTTATATTTTGTCATATATTTAGTTCGGTCTGTAGTTTACGCGAGTGACATTTGAAGTCTGTAGTTACACATTTGAAGAAAACACTAACGGTTTAAAACGCTATATATATTAAACTCTGTTATTTAAACGTCGGTCCGTAGTTAAAATAATTTTCAAATAAGTTAAATATATGTCGTGTTTTAAACTGTTAAAGTGTTTTATTTAAATATTCATATATATATTTATAGATAACTTCGTTCTGTTAAATTTCATTAAGCTGGACTATTATTTATCAGCTGCAGCTCTTTCTCCATTTATTGTGAAATTCTTGCTTTTAATAAAACTGACCCATTGATTTTATACTTTAATAATAGCAACCAGGAGTTCGTAACAATTGGGGAAGCAACTACCAACAACCGAACCAGATGCCAAATGGAATGCAACCGGGATATCAAAATGTAAACAACTACCCACGCAATGGACAAGCTTTTTCACAGCAACCTAACTTTGATCCACGGTTGTCTCAAGAAAGACCTTACGCTGGTATGTATCTTGTGAACCCAGACTAATAGGTTTTGCAACTTCTGGTTTCTTAAATATAGTGTTCGTATATCTGTGCTCCATTAAACACTATTGGTTCAGGCTGTGAGATTCACACAATTATTAGAACTAGCTGTGCTCATCCTCATGGAAAGAAGAATCATTTTTTCATACATATTTTTCCATTCTTGTATCATTTTCGAAGAAACGCAATAGAAACCCCTTTATAAATGAACAATTTTCCCCATTTTTTTGCACGTTTTTCTGTGTTTTTTCAGTAAATGTAACACATAAAATTTTTTTTTCAAATCGAACCAAGTACTTAGTTACCGAGATTAGCGTGTTCAAACAAACAAACTCTTCAGCTTTGTTATATTAGTATAGATTTTTCATACACCTTATGACCATTTGTAGTTGATCTAGATCCAAGGAAAAGCAATAATTGGATGCTACCGATGATTTTTCCATAGGTTTTCGCGAAGCCTCACAATACCCTAATCAAGGAGGCCAGACGGATATATCTGTCAGTACGGAAAAAGCGGGTATTTCGGAGCGTCCGGTAATTACCCCTAGAACAGAGCCGCAAGCCGTCAAGTCTTCAAAGGTTGGTCTTTATAAATTTATTTTTACCCTTTGTATCACTCCGAGAACGGCTAAATTTACACACATTTGAAGTAATTATTAAGTTCTGTATTGAATACTGTCTATAGTTTACGCGAGTAATATACATTTAAATAAAACACTTTAACGGTTTAAAACGCGATACATTTTAGTTATACTTGTTTGAAAATTATTTTTAACTAGTCTCCCCGTTACCACGGTTGCTGCAAAGCATCCCAAACGTCGGACCGTACTTAGATAAAATTAATTTTCAAACAATTTTTGTTTTTCACTGTTCTTTTTTATTTCACCCATTACGTTATGATTTTACTATAAATGTGTAATTAAAAAGACGTATTTATTTAAAGAATGTTCATAGTTCAAATAAGTTTAACTTAATATATGTCGCGATTTAAACCGTCAAAGTGTTTTATTTAAGGCGTATTAAGTTACAAAGTAAACATTTTTGAGCATTCGTGATCAGAGATTAAGCTGCACAATGCCTCGTGGCTGTATTTAAAAAATGCAACCTCGGGCTAAATTCTCTTCTTTGCATTGCTAACGAGAGATGAACTTTTCCTTTCGTGTAATTTTTGTCGTAAGATAAGCTCGCCGGCTTCGTTTCTAAGGATATTTTTTCGCTCTTAAAATGAACACTTGGCGATATACCTACTACGTTAAGAGTGGGTAATTTTTTAACTCCGTTTTATTTTTACGTTCAGCGTTTTAACCCTTTCTACAGTTCCGGTAATATATGATATTTAGTGAATATAAAAATAAATAAAATGATACACTCGAAAGCAATCTGACGAAGTCACTCAAAAAACCTATAAATCATGATAACAACAAGAAGATAAATTAAAAAAATAACATCTCGCATGAAAATACAAATAGAAAAATTAATTTTCTTGTATCACAATTTAAAATGCGAAATGTATTAGATTTACTTATTTACAAATTATTTGATGCTTTGCAGCATCCATGGTCACGAGGAGGTCTAAAAGTATTTTTAATGTGCTCTAGTCGCGTAAACTACAGACAGTACTGTCAGAAAGATGTCTGCGCGCTGACAGACATAGAGGATATTTAAAAATTATCACGTATAACTCAACTACGTAATGATTTAGACATTAGATAAGATAATAACTGTGCGAACGTTAAAATTAAAATGTATTTAACATACTTCTAAACACAAAGCAGCGAAGGTGTAATTACGAAATCGTTAATTACAATTTTCTACGATAGTACGTACCCATTTAATTAACAATAATTTCTGTATTTATAAATAGTGCTGTGTATAATTAAATTGTCAAAGGTAAAAATTAAAACCAATCTGGAGCAAATGGAATTGTACCATTCATAATGATTGTTATAATAATAGGTCAACAGGGATTGAAAAGTTGCTTTTATGCTAAAGGTTTATGAGAGAATCTACAAGGTTATCCCTAAATGACAACTGCAAACCTAAAGGGGTACTTGGGAACTCTTAACCTAATTCTTTTGCACAAGGAAATATATTCTAAAGAAGCGACTTTATTTTTTATTCAGCACCACACGCTAACATATTTCTAGATTTAAATGAAACACCTTCAACCGTTTATAACGCGAAATATATCTGTACGAAGTGTTTTAATTATTAATTCTCGATACTGTCTGTAGTTTACGCGAGTAGTATACATTTAAATAAAACACTTTAATGCTTTAAAACGCGATTTATATAGATACGCTTTGCAGTTGTCGTGGTCACGGGGAGTCTTTGCAAAGCATCCGAAACATCGGACCGTAGTTAAAATAAGTTTATATGCATATATTGCATTTTAAACCGTTAAAGTGTTTTATTTAAATATTAATTCTTGATTCATTTGGAATTTCACGTTTTTAAGCTGAGATGATGAAAAAGGGCTTCTAGGTTTTTCGTCATCTTTTCGTTGACTTGGTATTATACTGGTTCTATTTATCCTAGATCTTTTCCTATCTAGATCCAAGATCTCAGGTCGATGTATTATTTACACTAAGATCTTTTTTTTTCAGACTGAATAGCAGATAGGAAGACAAGAAGAGTTTTTTAAATAACGATAGTAATTAACATGTTAAAAGTAGTTAAGTATACTTTGAAATGTATGAATTATTTGTGAATAAATATTATTTATAATCTGATTTGTTATTTATTTAAAGACTTATTCAAAGAATGTCAGATATCCCTTTCTACTTGTTAATAATTTTAGAGTTTACATAGGAAATCTTAAAAAATATTAATTCCCCCCGTTTTTTCCACGTATTTTTCCACAAAGAAACACGCTGTTTCTTCGCTTCTATTGGGCGCAGCGTGATATTATGCCTATCTCGATACATACATCACAAAAATATATTTCTAATTAGAAATTGTTTCCTGTGATTGGCAAGTATCGTATGAAAATTTAAAATGTATCTAAATACTGTCTGTAGTTTACGCGAGTAGTACACACTCAAATGAAACATTTTAACGGTTTAAAACGCGAAAATGTATGAATTAAAATTGTTTTAACAAATATAAATCGCGTTTTAAACCGTTACAGTGTTTTATTTAGGACGTATCTGCTTAAATCAAACTTATCACACTTTTGAAAGCGTTTATTAAAAGTTTTAATTTAAAAAATTCAAAAGATCGTATCCAAATTACCTTCACTAGGCAACGTGCCCATAGTGAAGATGTTATCCGGACGTCAGCCAAGATACTTTAATTCACACAGTTTTAATTATGTTTCATTGTAATAGAACTGCGTTTTAACAGCCCAACTGAAAATTGTTAATTTACTGTACTAAATACAATGACGGGCCAATGAAAGCGCGAAAACAAAATAAATATATTCACTCGATAGACGATGAAATCGGCTAGCTATAACAGCTCTCTAAAATAAGCTGTCGACTCATTTAGTGGGGACTAAATGGGAAAACTCCGTTTCAGAGGCAACTTATTTTATTGAATAAAATATTGATTTTATCTATATTGATTTATAATTTAATATTTTATTTATAATTCTTCCTATGTTGTTTGTAAAATGTCCTAAGTTGTTTCTGAATAAACTCATTTCTATTCTATTCTATCCTAGATTATTCTAACTCGTATTTTGATGTACCGTGTACTTTTTTAAATTCAAAAATAAGTCGACGGCACATCTTAGTTATATTTACTAGGGTAAAAGTATTTCACCGTTCGTCATGTGAATCTAATACTTGTTACACTTCGTCATGAACACTAGAATGCGGATACTGTGAAAAAGTGGCAATCGAGTACTTTTTATCGGAAATAAAAGTTCCCCATTAGGATCAAAGTTTGAATCCGTAATAAAAATAACACAAACCCGGCTCGATAACGAACGCACGTTTACAAACGATTGTCGAATCAGTAAATTGAAAGTGTCGTTACCCTTATCTCGCGCCTACATGTGACTCGTTTTGGACGTTCAAATTACATCCCTATCGCTGTTACGATAACGAGATAACTTCACTGATGGGGATTTTAAAAACTTGTGGCGACTACTTGTTCACTATTAACGATAAGACTCGTATAAAGACTTTCATAAGACAAGAGCGACGGTGTTATAAGTAAATTGATAAATATTTTTAATTATTGACGTGAAAATAATGCTAGGCTATGTTAAGTTATATAACATACATATATTTAAATTATTTAATTAATTACTGAGACAATATGTTATTGTCGAATTCTTGCAGCAAGTGGCAACGGCTTCTGTTTAATCTCTTGCGTTAACTTAAGACTAATAAAACAATTTTAACAGTTTAAAACGCGAAATGTATTAGTGAAACTAATTTACAAATTATATTTACTACAAGTTGGGTGCGGTCACCGTGAAAGTGTTTTATTTATATACTCGCGTAAACTACAGCCTATATTATTCACGCTTCTAAACATACCGTATTTATTTATAATCACTATTAGAATCAATAATTCTACGAAGCGGTGGGCATGGTATCAACTACAAAGCAAGTAATAATTTACTGGACAGCATTAATTGCGAAGGTGGTAATTAATTGGAATTCTAATTATAACTAATCATATTGTATAATGGTAATAGGCTGGCCATGCCTGCAGAAGAGAAGATGGTTGGAGCCGACATATACTAGATTGGAGACCACGATTAGAGAATGCACTGTAGGACGGCCGACAGCACGGTGGATAGATGACCTAAAGTAGCCAGCAGCAAATGGATAATTAGAGCTCAAGAGAGGGCCGAGTTCCATGCTTTGGGAGAGGCCTACGTCCAGCAGTGAACACAAACGGGCTGATAATGATGATACTACTAACTACTACTAACGTTTTACTAGTTATTAAAATAGTCTTTACTAGCCAGCGACTTCGTCCGCATAGAATAGTTATTTTGGGTGTCAAAATTTGGTTTTGCTAACTTCCTCTTCATCTTTATAAATTATAGATCATGCCAACGACATCGTCCGCGTCCCGTCACTTTTGCAAGTTAATCTTCTATTGGTCGCATCGTGATATTTTATAGCCTACCTTGATAACCCAAAAATATTTTTTAAATTCAAACTGTAGTTTCTGAGCTTAAGTTTGTTTTGTACGCGACAAACAAACAATCTAACTCTTTAGTTTTATATCAACGTATAGATTATATCTGTACTTTATTATTACTATTACTTTATTAGGAATAATTCTATTTTTAAAGGATAATCAAAGAACAAGAAAAGAATCGATGTTCGTTCAAGTCCTGCCCGTGTCACGGGTTCGAATCCTGGGTCGGGTAAATGTAATTTCTTTTTGCACCTTTAATACGACCTTTTTTAACCTTCCCCTTCTAAATGAAAATTAATTTAAATATATATTACAATTGTAACTTGTATTAAAAGAAAACATTTTTACATTACGTAAATGTTACTTAAATATACGGGCCGACGATCGAGAGACTAGAGAGAATAGTTAAAATCATTTTAACAAATATATATCGAGTTTTAAATCTACGCGTAAACTACAGACAGTATTTAATTAAATGATTTTAAGCGAACAGAATATATTTGTAATTAACTTATTTAATTTTAATAAATGTCGAATCACTATTACAAAATATTGTTTTAAGTATTCGTTACTATTAGGCCGAATACCAAATAGTAAAGCTATATTCGTTCAAGTGGAAACCAAAAATACATAATTATATTACAGCTCAAAATAGCATTAAATTCAAATCAAAATTTCATTAAACGTAATTTGTTGAACAGTATTGAAGCGTCTTTGATTATGAAAAAGGTGAAGCGAGTTGCTGAGGGGCTGAGGTGGTGAGTACCAGACGAAAAGGGTATGCCAGGGAAATTGTGTAAAAGCACCCTTCAGTGAATCTCGATGGCTGGGCGTTTATATTATCTCCGACTTCGCTGACTGTTTCTATGTAACATTTATGTAAGATGTGTGAGAAATAACGCTTTTGTTTAACTATATAACTCAAAACATATCCTATATATTTGGACGTTCTCATTGATATAAAGTTACTAATGAATGGCGAATAATTAAGGGATCCAATATTATCTAATTAATGTGAAAATTTCCTGAAACATGTTGGATTTTCCTTGGAAATCTGGATAGCAAATGAGTGTTAGAATAACAAAAATCTGTCAAATTTTATGGCATTTCGATTTCAGTACGTGGATTTCCGAATATCCAAAGTCAAAATTCAACTACCGCATTTTGTTGCGTACCACCAATTGAATCTCATGATTTTCTGTCCTCCTCTATCATAAAAAAAGAATTACGAGACGTAATATGTGTATGGTTAATTCTTTTGAATAAAACAAAGTGTTGCCATATACGAAGACAGCCTCTATAACCCAATAGTCAAACGCGTTGTCTTAATTGTTCTTATAGGTGTAACAATGTATATAAAATTGGCCTGGAAATGATATGTTCGCCGCACATATACGGCGACACACATTATAAGTTTATTAAACTCTTGCACTACCGTTGTATAAGTTTTTAACAATACACCTAGTTCTGGAAATTCTAGGAACAAGCAACTGTGGTCGAATTACAGCAACACAAATTAACTTACCCACGACTACCCACTGAAACTCCATGAATTTAATATCCAAGTGTATAGACTTTTCGTTAGAAGCGAGAGGTTTCCGGTGTTAAAAATTCAATATAACACGCTAACATAAGTGGTATTGAAACAAAAGGGATCGCAGCGCGGCGCGGTGTATGAACTTATAAGAAGTAACATATAATAATTTTATGAAGACCTAGGCGTGCTACAATGTTTTACACGGCGTTTCTGTATTAAACTTTCACGACTTCGTAAGTGACTTAGTAGGTGTATACTTCTTTGTTTAAAAATCTACATGTTCATACTATATGTCGCTTTAAAGTTATACAAGATTATAAGAATGATCTCTTCTTACTCTTAATAGAATTAACAGTTTTTATTTCAAAAGGGACTCGGGAGGACTACTTTACAAAGGTAGATAAATTGCGTGTTTATATTATAAAAAAATAGTATGTTGGTCTGGAAACATAGATTTGAAATGGATATAGAATATCCAAAGTAACAAAAAATGGTAGACGTCACATCGTCTATCGATGTTGGAGTATTTCTATTTCACCTTCCGTCCTTAGAGCCACTGACAACTAAAATTATATGAACTAGTGTTTGAGTTCTATCATCTACTAAGTTTAAAAAAGATAAGAATTCATACATTAATAGAAAAAAAACATCTAATATATAAAATTCTCGTGTCACAGTTTTCGTTGCCATACTCCTCCGAAACGGTTTGACCGATTTTGATGAAATTTTTTGTGCTTATTCGGTATCTATGAGGATCGGCCAACATCATTTTTAATCCCCGTAAATGTTAGGGGTAGTCCACCCCTAATTTTTATTTTTTAGACAAAAGTTATTATTTTTCTATTTTTTTACGATACAACATACAAAAATACATACAATCCTCAATTTTCACCCTTCTACGATCAACCCATATTTTTTAATAGCCATTTTAGTAATCTAATCATTTTTCCTCTCCGCTCGAAAACTGATCAATCGTCATTTAATTAGTTATTAACTATTTATATGGCAAAACAACGTTTGCCGGGTCAGCTAGTACACTTAGAAATATTTCCTTCTAGAACGTCGTATCAGGAGACAAATTACTAATTTAAATAGCAGAAATGTTTGCTGACAAAGTCTCTGTAAACATAATTAAAGCGGATTCCCGCATGTGGACGGATTCTGCACGTCTTAAGGTATAATTTTCAGCAGTAAACCCGGATTTTGTTGGATCCGTCCAATATTTCGTCTACCCTAAAGGGAGTTTAAACGAAACTGTTTAGCAACTAAATTGTTGTTGGACAATTACATCGTACAATTTGTTTTGATCATTTAATTGTTTTCGTTACTCATCAACCTAATTAAGTTTATTTATATGTTAGTATTTATTATTACAGATTATTTGAAAATGATTTTTAACTTCAGCAGCCGTGGTCACGGGGAGACCCGTCGTCGCCCCACGAAACTATAGACAGCTTAAAACCTTATCAAAACAATAGGCAAAGCTATAATAGTAAACCATAGGTGTAAACGTTTATATTGTCACACGTTGCACATGATGGCAGTATATATATAAAAAATCGAGTGAAAAAAATTTACAACGCGGATAGGAATGGACCGGTATCATTTCTAACCAGTAGTTGAGCTACCACTAAGATTTTAGCTATTAATTAATAGTTTTAATGAATGATGGCTTACTTATATTGAAAAAAATCACAATATATTATTGTATATATTAGAAGAACACATCGGTTTCCCATATTTGTGAATCATTTTAAGATTTTGTCTAGAGACGGTAGATCTATATATAGATATACCAGTAATAGAAATTAAATTAAAGGTGTATGGAAGTTATAGAGCCTTTCGGTTTTAGTATGTGTATTTTAGTTATACTGTTAAGATTACATTATTTTTTGTCTTTTATATTTTAAAAATAAGTGTGAGATATTTTTTTGCTTGCCTTAGTAGTCAATAAATTTCTTTCTTTCTTCCTTTGTCGAGAAACTACGTAGACTAGTTATTTTAGGCGACTGAATTTGTTTTTTCAAACCTACTTATACTTCATTATAAATTTAAACTGTTACCCACGACGTAGTCTGCGTCCCGTCGTTCATGCGATAGACTTCTTAAATGATAGACACTTACTATCGGTTTTTTTTTTATAATTCAAAGAAGAATCTATTTTAAAACCCACAAAAGATAAATAATTCTCCCCGTTTTCTCCACATTTCCCGCTGTTTCTTCGCTACTATTAGTCACAGCCCGATGTTTATAACCAACACAGAAAGATTTTTTCAAATCAAAACAGTAGTTACAGACATTAGCGCGTTCAAACAAATAAATCCTTTTGTTTGTGTATTAGTATAGATATGCAGAGAAAAGATACCGTTAATGTTCCAATATGCGAAAAGGTTTAAATTTTTAATTAAAACTTCCATAGTACAGCCCTAATTAAAACGACTCCTGTGACGTCAATACCATTTTAAGCGGTTTCAATAAGCGCTCCGATACAAGTTCGCCTAATTTGGGTTCTCCACAAAAGGTTCGTATAAGTTCAGTTACAAAGTTATTCGAAGAGATCTGCGGTATATCAATTGTGGGGGAATGTGTTTTGAAATTTAGGCGAAAGTTTTAAAGCGAATCCCGCTTACCTTCTGGGGCATGGGGTAGACTTACGTCCGTTTTGATTGATTTTATTTAGAAACAAATAGTAGATCAAACTGTGCTGCTTACTATTGCGTATTGTCTGTAGTTTAAGCGAGTTGTACACATTTAAATAAAACACTTTTAACGGTTTAAAATGCGAAATATATTATTTAACTTATTTACAATTTATTTTAAATAAGTTGATTAATAGATTTCCCGACTTATTAATTACAGAACATGGCTTCTAAATGCTTACTATTGTTTACCAGGGATTCTAAGACTCGTGCTTAATCATTGTAATATTTAAATATATTGTTTTTAACGGTTTAAAGTGCGAAATATATTAGTTAAATTACTTTTAATTTAATTAACCTACGGCTAGACGATTCGGATCCTTTGCAACAACCATGGTCAGGGTAGGACTCCTGGTGGTGTCGTAATTGTATTACATTAAACATTTTTACCAATTTAATTTTGCGTTCTAAACCGTTAAAGGTATTTTATTTAAAAGAGGAATCAAATTATAAATCTTAAATCCAAGTTTTTAGTTTACTGTAGGAAGTTTGTCTCTTGACAGAGATTGTTCTACCAAAATACTTTTGTGTTAATTCTTTCACTGAGTCATAAAAACCTTAGTGATAACTTTAAAGGCAGATCGTATAATCCGTGAGGCACATAAAGCCATTGTTGCTCTTTTCAAGGGAATTCATAACAGTAGATCCCGATTTTATTGCGCTTCCCTGCAGCAATATGCTGCTGTGTAAAATTGCTAAAGCTTTACCTTCAATAGACTAGCTAGCTGCGGTTATTATTGCTGTAAGCAGTTTTATGGGTATTTGCATTTTACACTAACGAGTAGATATTGTGTGTACATATGTATCATTGCGCTTAACTATGCAGTAATCATAATTACAGTTTACACAAGCTCTACTACTACTAAGTAGTTAACTACTCTATGAAAACTTTCATATTTTTCTCATGTCATTGCACATGATGGCATTATATAAATTAAGTAATTGCGCTTGCTGCTTTGTCCGTCGTGTTTTCCGAGTTAACCGTAAAAGATAGATATGTACTGTCACGGATATCTTTTGAGATTTTTTAAAGAAGAATAATTCTATTATTTTTTTACATGTAATTGCACATGAAGGCACTATATAATTTAAAAATCGAAAATAAATTTCGACACGGGCGGGACTTGAACGTGCATCGTCAGCGTTCCGTGCCGTTGCTCTACCAATTGAGCTACCGAGTCACTCGGAGCAACAGCGCGGAACGCTGACAATGCCGGTTCAAGTTCTGCCCGTGTCGAAATTTATTTTCGATTTTTAAAGAATAATTCTAACACAAATATTTTGTGAGTACCTTGAACTGTTGTCGCAGCACGCAACGGTTCAACGGAATCTATTCTCCCGTTTTTTTTTCACGTTTCCCTCCTCCTACTGGTCGCAGCCTGATGTTTTATAGTCTCAAGCTTGCATCGATAATTGGTCTATCCAACACACTAATTTTAACCAGTAGTTACTGAGATGAGCGCGTTCTATTAAACTCTTCTATGTCTATTAAATGTCTATACATTACTACAGATATATTTTGCATT